GTGTTTCTCGTTTCTCGTTTTTATATAGATTAGACCGTTGGTTTTCCCGTTTGAATGGTTTTACACTAGTAATTTTTGGGGCCCTTTATAGCTTGCTATTCGGTGTGAGCCAAGGCTCCGTGTTGAAGACCGTATTTTGACCTATAATGGTTTACTTTTATAAATTTTGACTTGAATGGAGAGTTGTCTCATTGGCACTCATACCACATCTTCTTATATCTATAGATTCGATAAGAAGTTTGCGATTTTGGCAGATACCATAGTAAAAAGAGAGGAATTGGAGATATTAAAAGAGTTAAACAGGAGATAATATGTTTGCTAAAATATATTGTAGTCTACTAGTTAGATATCTTTACTTAAGTCTTTTAATTGGGAATCATATTGATGATATCATTAAATGTCATGAATATTCTAAGAAGAAAAAAAAACAAAAAAAAATCTAAACCCTATATGAAAATATGTCGTTTAATTGTGTGCATAATAATCCCATCCAAAGGAATCATGGAAACTGTTCATCCATGGAATATAATGAATGCAATACTTAAAAAATATTCATATATCAATGATTTGTAGAATAGTTATCTTGGGTTGATACAGGTCATATTTGACATTTCTGAGTCGACCAAACTTTGGACAAATTATTTAACATGTCGCACAAGTGAAATTACATTGAAAGGACAAGTTAAGTAAAACACAAATGCCGAACCCTAGAATACTTGCATGATCTCTAAACGGTGTTAGACCAGATCGTGTGTGCTAATATGGTTAGCATGTCCTGCCATACATGCGTTAGATATTATAAACAAATGATAACAATGTAAGTGTGCATTGTACGTTTCTTGTATATATAACTATCAATTAGTTAAACTCAACACCAAATGTGAAAGCATGAAAACAAAACGTACCTAAATTGAAAAGCCAAATATAAGTTTGCATAAATTTACACAATGGAGGCCCAACCATAGTATATAGAGATTCAAGGAAGATAACAAAACCAGTAACAGTATCAGATGGACATCATGATCAGTGTGATCTATAAGCATATAGTGTTATAAATTTTATGAGTCTCTAATTTAATATAAAAGACCACATCGAAGACATTTCTTGTAAGTTCAGGAATGCTGAATACTGGGCTAGTGATTCTCTCGAGGACGAAACATCCTCAAGTAATGGAATCGACCCAGCGGTTGTAAAAAGTTATCATAGATATAGCACAAGCTTATAATTTCAGTACGCCAAACGTGCGTTTCGAATGAACATTATATAAATATAAAACAAGATAGCATTAACAAAAAAGTCCAATAATTTATTACACCATTCGTCATTGACATGTTGCTCTCTGGGTTATCTAATATTTTAATCATTTAAAACTACTATAGACTTTGAGTCATAAGATAAATTATTTCATACATTCATTTTAATATCATTATAAAGTTAAGTTTGGAAAAACATGTGTTTAATCAGAGTCATTGTGTTGTTTTCAGTTTTTGTTTTTAACTTCGGATTCCTATTGGAGGACAAAATTCCACAACAAACTAGTACTAGCAATCAGTTTCCTTCTATTTCGAAGTACCTAGCAGATCAAACGTCTATTCACCACGAACTTGAAACATTGCGTAGACATCAAGAAATGGAAATGAGCTTACTAACGTCACAACTTATGCAGAGACTGGCGGAAATGGAAACAAAATGTTCCGAACAATTATCACGAAACGACACATGCAGAGGTTGTTTTGAAGAGTTCGAGCAAAACTTTCAAGACGTTAAACAAACCAACTCTCGTTTGGCTGTTGATCTTGAAGTATTACAGTTCAAATATAATCTCCTTAATAAGGTATTTGAGAACTCAACCACAGAGCTGAAAAGCAGTCTTCAGGAATTAAAAAAGATGAAAAATATTCAACAGCTGCAGTCATTGAACAATTTACAGGAAACAGTACAAAAGATCGATTTGTCCGTTACTACTTTAAAGGGTAACGAACAAGCTCGAAGCCAGGACTTTTTGGCTTTATACAATATAACAATGCGTTCAGAGGTAGCAATTAGTCGTGTTTCTACTATGGTGAACAAATATCAAACAGATTTGCAAAACGTTGACAAAGAAATGAATAATACGAATACAGAACTTCAGCGTGTTTCTATTCAGATGAACCAATATCAAACAGACCTGCAAAACGTTGACAAAGAAATGAATAATACGAATACAGAACTTCAGCGTGTTTCTTGTAAGATGAACCAATATCAAACAGACCTGCAAAACGTTGACAAAGAAATGAATAATACGAATACAGAACTTCAGCGTGTTTCTAGTAAGATGAACCAATATCAAACAGATTTGCAAAACGTTGACAAAGAAATGAATAATACGAATACAAAACTTCAACGTGTTTCTAGTAAGATGAACCAATATCAAACAGACCTGCAAAACGTTGACAAAGAGTTGAACAATACGATTACCGAGCTTCAGCAAAATATTGCAAACAAAGGTATCTTTAGTAAATAATTACATTACATGTATGTTTCACGAGAGTCCGAAAGTTTGATTGGCTAACAACAATCGCGCGTCATTCAAAAATTAACCTTTATATCAAAATGAAATGTTACATTCTTGATGACACGTGCTTCCACATAAAATTGCACAGGTAAATAAAAGAAAAACTTGGTAAAACTTTTTTTCATGCTCTTATTAGCATAAAAATGTAATTATAAAAATGGATGCTTCTTTTTGTAATTTTATTGGGGTGCAAAAGTGTTGATCGTGCACACATTTTTAGAATTAAGCGTTTCCGTGCTTCATACATAATGTGCTTCGGTCACACCCCAATAAAATTACAAAAAGAAGCATTCATTTCTTAAATTAATACAGTATATATGCTACAGTGCATTTGTAAAATTAGGGATTTTGTACATTCTTTGAAATTTCAGAGTTTGTAAAATCACTGAATTGATTAGTGATTTTGTAAAATCCAAGATTTTGACAAGAGAGTTTAGAAGATTTTAGAAAATCCCTGAAATAATTAAAAAAAAAATTGATTCACTGATTTTATTCATCAAAAAAAAGATAAATAGCCTTTAACAGTAACACTGAACAATTTCAATTGGTCCTAGTTAGAATACATGGCGAGCAGTTTTTAAAAGAACTGAGGGTAAATTAAAATGTAATTTTGGAACCGGGATAAGTATGAGGAAATTGTGAAACATACTGCAAAAGACCAACAAAACAGACAAATTTTGTTATCATTGATAACGTAAGTATGAAGTTCTTCGATGTGTGAGATCAGAAAAATAGATGTGCCTGTTGTAAAGCAGAGCAATTAATGTAACAGCAGATGTCACCCAAACTATGTGTAAAAATAAATAAATTATAGTCTTTATATCTGCACATATGCCTTTTTATTCATAGTCATTTAAAAGAGTGCAAACCAGTAATGTCAATTAAATAAATATTTTTTAAAAATAATAGTCTATCTATATTAAGACCAACACATTTCTGATATTAATATAAAAATTAGATGTGGCATGTTTTCCAATGGGACAACTATCTATCAGAGTTCAAATGAAGTGAATGTAAATACTTACAGACAACCGGTCGGCCATCAACAATGAGAAAACCCATACCGCATAGTCGGCTATAAAAAGCCCAGACATGAAAAATGTGAAACAATTCAAACAAGAAAACTAACAAAACTAATTTATAACAAAACAATTTACATAAACAAATACGACACACATGAACCATCCTGACTTGGGACAGGCATATAAAAAAGGTGGCGGTGTCAAGCATATTTGTGAGCCCTAAATCCTTCCCTTAACATGGAACAGTGGTGTAACGTCACAACATAAGAACAAGCTGTAAAAATCAGCAGCAACTGGCTTAACTCAAAAGATCGGTACGAGGCACAAAAAAAACAACTAACATAACAACAGTAGACAAAAAGCACCGAAATAAGAGTACGCGAAGGAGCACCGAAATAAGAGTACGCGAAGGAGCACCGAAATAAGAGTACGCGCAGGCTGTTACTGAAACCTAGTGCAAAGCAAATTACAATTAATAAATAAATCATGTTATCCCATACTAAAGTATCAATGGGTGCATATCCAACGGATTAAGTTAAAGCTTGTTTTTATTGTTCCAGTCTATAATTGAACTGGTATCAATTTTACTCTTTACTTTAAGCGTTTATACTAAATATTTATCTTTTTTTCAGTTGCACTTACTGCATGTGTTGATACTCATATAAACTTTTCTCCCGATCAGGCAATCCAGTTTACAGATGTAAGAACAGCCATAGGATTTGATAGTAATGGTTTTCGGACAACCGGCCAGTTTGTGTGTACTGTTTCTGATCTTTATCATATTTCTGTGGTGTTAATGTCGCTTTCAAAGAACATTCAAATTAAAATCTTAAAAAACAACCAACAAATGGTGACCAGTTGGATAGATAATTATGATACGACAAGCTCAGGCACACATTATTATCGTTCTGCGGTAGCAGTGACAACAACATGGTTACATGTTGGGGATACAGTCAAAGTCACCGGTGATCCCAGTGCTAAGTATGAAGGATTTCAATCTTCATGTTTTACCATTGTACGAATTAGCTAAATTCACCAAAATATTGTTGTTTTTTAAAACTTATGATAGGGTTTAGTCATAAAACCCAATATCAATTAGTCAAAATCTTTTATAACTATATTACAAATCTCTTTTCATTTCATAATGAGCAATGAAGACTAAGAAAGTTTTGTATCTTTAATGAGTTTTGACAATTAACTATCAAATATCATAAAGGCTTAAAATTTGATGTCTTACTAGATTACTCTCAATGGATCTTTATATTTGTACTTCTTTTAGAATAAGAATAAGAAATAGAGATGTGCTGCTTATTATGTTATCAACAGGGTAATTAATTACATATTTATTGTTATCATTATCTTATAAACATTACTTATCAGTGTACTTTATTATTGCGTGTTTATTAGAAAAATAGAGAAAAAAAAATATTGATATTGATTTATTCTGTTCAACTTTAAAAACTACAATTTCATTATGTTTGATTTTTCTGCTCATCCTTGACTATGAGTATGCTTGAAAAAAGTAAATTCTATTATCTCCTCTACAACATGTTGGACTTGGACTATATTCTTTTAAGCACATCCCCGTGTAGTATTATACAGCTGTGAAAAGTTTCATCTATATCGGTCTTGCCGCTTAGGAGGAGTTGTGCTGATAGGCGGACATACAGGTTGTTTCCTATATAAGTGGGTATAAAAAGTCGACAAAATAAGAATAGCTTGAGAAGTTTAAAAAAGATGATAAGATAGAAACAAGAAATTAATAAAAAAAAATCATAGGATTAATTCGTTTTCTTCAAATTTACCACCTTATCCAATTTTCCGTAGGAAAACAGCTGAATTTGGTTTTCCTAAAACTAACGATTTTATGTGTACATATTGTATTTTTAAAAATATATCTTGAAAGTTTAGCACTCTTCCCTTTTTAGATAGTTATATATTGGATTGTTACTTGGTTAAATATTAAAATGTGTATTGTCCCGTTTTAGGCTTAGGGGAAGCGGGTACAATGAATGTTGACTTGGTGGTCTGTATGTTTGCATCGTTGATATGACTCCTTTTACAGTCCAATTAACCTACGGAAACCGGTTATCAACGTTTATCGCACCGCGGGTAAATATTCGGCCTCACCCTCTATGGATTTTACTAACCCTCTATGGATCCGTAGGGGTCAGTAGCGAACCATATAACTTATAGTATTTTCTGTTTCCCGCCGTGCATAGGGGATATGTAAATGATGATGTCCGGCTTAATAACATTGTTTGCGCAAATTCATTTCAAAGGATAATTAGATTAGAAAATCAGGACCAATCGATTATTTTGAGGGAGTTATGTCCCTTTGAAAAGTAAATACTACGAAATTTGACATTGTTAGCGCTCTTGCACATACAGTTCTCTTGTCAAGAGTCAATCAAATTTGTATCAGATGTTTATACGAGCAATTTTTATGATGAGTTCAAAAAACCTGGCTGAGCAATCATTTGGGGGATTATGATACATGTAAATTTTACGGAAATGACATCTTAAGCGCTCTCGTGCCATAATTTTTTTATCTAAGTTAAGTGGAATTCATGTCTTAGGTTAAAATCAGCAATATCTCGAGTGAGTTCTAAAATAAGAGTTCATAGAATATTTTTGGGGGAATTATGCCGCTCATTTTGAAATGGAAATTATGTGGACAATAATAAATATTATTTGTCTCATATTAACTTTTTGGTTAAAGTTAGTTTCTTTTGTTACCTATTCTGACATCGGATTCGGACTTCTTTTGAATTGAGTTTTACTGTGCTATGTGTTTCTTTATTCTACATTGGCTAGAGTTGTAGGGGAGGGTTGAGATCTCATAAAACATGTTTAACCCCGCCGCATTTTTGCGCCTGTCCTAAGTCAGGAGCCTCTGGCCTTTGTTAGTCTTGTATGTTTTTAAATTTTAGTTCATTTATATGTTTTGGAGTTTAGGGTGACGTCCATTTTCACTGAACTAGTACACAATTTTATTTAGGGGCCAGCTGAGGACCACCTCCGGGTGCGGGATTTTCTCGCTGCGTTGAAGACCCATTGGTGGCATTCGGCTATTGTGTGCTCTTTGGTCGGGTTGTTGTCTCTTTGACATATTCCCCATTTCCATTCTCAATTTTATCTTTGATAGTCCTGCTAAGTTGATTCATAACTTGTCTGGACTATGCCGAATTAAAATTTGATACTTTAAAAATAATTATATATATATACATTTGGCGAATTTTATTTTTGTATCTATTTTACAGCATCATGATATTAATGTGTACAAAGAATTTAAGTTTGCTTTGTTTGCTAGGTGAACCTTTGGAACATGAGGTCAATACTAGCTTTTGTTACTAATTAGGACCAACTGATATTATGAATTCAATGGATCACTTAACAAAAAGGCTTGAACTTAAAGTTTATGCTCAAATAACAAAGGAAAAAGTGCTGAGCTGCAAAAGTATAAGTATTTAAGGGTATACAGTTTTTGCTGGGCTGTCCAAGCCAATGTAGACAGGATTCTTGGCATCAGCGATAACTCGTACACCAAGATAGGAAATAAAACCATCGATTGAGAAATTAAGTCCCATAGCATCAACGATCTTCTTGTAGGACTCAGACTCCTTCTCATACTGGGCAATTATGGCCTGTGCTTCAGTCTGTGCTCTGAAACAGAGTAATGTAAATCTATAAAAGCGTGTGTTCTTGAAACAAGGGGAATCTGAAATTTTTCGTATCTCGGGGCGATTTGACACTTGTCTATTATTGAAGCACATGTTGATTTCTAAATATATTTTTTTGGTGTTTTATTGTAATGATCTTTTACGAGGGCGATTTGTGGTTGTCGTTATCTTGATTTTTCGATGACGTCATACGTCTTCTTTTATCGATATAAAAAGGTTAATTTGAGCATCATTACCAATTTATTTTATTTTCTTAATAAAAACAAATGTATGATTGTAAACAAAACAATACTGTCAAATTTTTCTGTACATACTTTTTATTTTATTTCTAAGGTTAGGTTTAAATCAAGAAGACAGACAAATTGTACATATGGTTAAAGTAACGAAACCTACGTTAAGTTGAAGAACCCGGATAAAAACACTGTTCCTTTGCTTTTTTTGTCAGGTATTAATACACCATATCCCTTCAATTTTAACTGTTGCTACAACGCGTTTAGAAATTCAGTATTAACTGATTAACAGGTAAAATAACTCTTGGTAAGATTGAATGAGCGTTAAAAGATTGACAGATTCGAGACATGCATCGTTTTGTTGTACAGAAAATTTTCAATCGGTTACATACGATGATTTTTCGTCTCGTTCAACCTTACCGTAGCGACGAGGTGCGAAAAACACAACCACAATGCGTTCACGCCTGATAATCAATTGACATTTTTAAACGTGAGTCCACCTTAATTTACAAAGATTACCATTTTTCCAGCCGAAGGTCGCCGGATGGTTCTCTCTGGGTACTCCGGCTACCCTACCAATAAAAACTTGACGCTATAATATTGCCAAGGTCGCTGAAAGTGGCGTTAAAACAAACAAACAAAACAAAAAACAAACTCGCCAATGATTACCTTGGAAACAAGTACCGACAAGTTCAACTGCACTTAGTCATCAGTAATAAGATTTTGAGATTCCAATGGTATTTTCAAACGCGTTGTACATCTTACTTGTTAGCTAAAATACGAGCATCCGATTCCGCTTTATCAACAATTATCTTTGCTTGTGTTTCAGCCTCACGTTTCTTTGTATGTGCTTCTGTCAGGAGTCGTGGACGTTCATTGTTCGCTACCTGAATGTCTTCTCTAGCTCTTTCCTTACTCCTTATTGCACTTTCATACTCAGGTGGTCTTGCTATGTTGCTCACCTAAATAAATTAATCAATGCTTATCAATCTAATTAAAATAAGATTCCCAAAAGAAAGAGCGGGAACCTTATTTTAATTAGATTACATTTTATATTCTATGTCTAATTGTATTTGCTTAAGAAATTAATTTAAAATAGAATTTAAAAAATCCTGCGACAGTTGACTCCATGCATTAGAAAAAAGGTGTCTGTTGGTATGATTTTCGTGCTCTCAACACGTATTTTGAAAAAATAAACTAATCAGGTACTTTCGTAACAAAAAGTTCAGAAAGCCAAAAAAAAAAATAAAAACGCTGGAGAGCATAAGAACCGAAAAGGAACACGAGAAAAGCCAGATCGTTCAAAGTCAACTTTGCTTGATGGAGTTAGTTTGGCACATGTTTTAAACAAAAATTTGTTTTGCATTATCTCAAACAAGATATTCTTACTCCTGCATTTGGGTGATTGGTTCCAACTCGCCAACACTATGAATGAATTATTTGCCACTGAACTTTGAATAACACTGATTAGTTGGTCCTAAGTCTCCGGCTTCCGATTCCCCTTGTTTGGTATATTTTACCTTTTGTTAAAGTTCTCTTACCTGTAGGTCAGTAACATCAGCCTCAAGTTCTTTATATCTCTTGATTATTTGTTCTCGGACTTTTTCCTGGAAGATTGCGCGTTCAGCCTGGAACTGTGACGTTTTGAAGAAGCTACAAGCTTCATGTAAAGCTGATCTTCCTAAAAACAAGAATTTCTTGTTTATGGTGAGACAATCTAGTTCTTATTTATTCAATGGTTATTTGCTAATCTCAGAATGTTCAATGGTTCTCTAGGACTAGAAAAGAATTGGGGATGTCGTCGGGAACAAAGACAGCATTTGTCACTCGACGGACAACAATGACTCGGGATGTCGTCGTGAACAAAGACAGCATTTGTCACTCGACGGACAACGACAACAATGACTCGGGATGTCGTCGGGAACAGACAGCATTTGTCACTCGACGGACAACAATGACTCGGGATGTCGTCGTGAACAAAGACAGCATTTGTCACTCGACGGACAACTATGATGTTGTCCTTAACAGCTAATTGGAAATTCAAGTAATAGTTAATAGATATATGAAGATGTGGTATGAGTGCCAATGAGACAACTCTCCATCCAAATTACAGTTTATAAAAGTAAACCATTATAGGTCAAGGTACGGCCTTCAACACGGAGCATTGGTTAACACCGAACAGCAAGCTATAAAGGGCCCCAAAAAAAATTACTAGTGTAAAACCATTCAAACGGAAAAACCAACGGTTTAATCTATATAAACCCTGTTTACGACTTAAATGAAGTTATTCCTCAACCATTAAATTCAAAAGAAATTAAGAAAATCTATGTGTATTTCTCACAATGCAGTGTTTTGTATCCCAATAACGGACTTAATCAGTATTATTATTTTCAAGTCTAACTATAACAAACTTAATTCATTTCTGTTATTGAACATGATTTTAACCCAATATGACCGTTGCAGCATTTGACGATTTTAATCTGATATATATTTTAGTTTGTAAAAAAAAATCAAATTTTATAGTCGATGCCCGGCGAATAATCTTCACTAAACTATATGAAGGGTCGATAAAAACTGAAGGATTAAGACATACCTGCATATTCAAGGACTTTAATGTAGCCAGTTTGGTTCCTGAAGTCTAAAATAATTTTCTTCAGGTTGGCAGATCTGACTTTATATTGGTAGGTAACGTCTAGGGTTATTTTAATGCCATCTTTGTTGTAACACTGGAAGTCAAAGGTCAAAATGAATGTAAATGAATAGAATCAACGCATAACATCTAGCAACAGTTAATATAAAAATAATGAGATGTATTATGATTGCCGATGAGACATCTATCCACAAGAGTCTGTAGGTCAGCAACAAAATGTCACCGAACTGCCTTCAATAATGAGCAAATCCCTTTCCGTATAGTTAGCTTCAAAAGGCCCCGACATGACAATAAATTTAAAAGTTACTACGTATGTGTGAGCTCTGTATGGTCACGTGGTATCTTATTTACGTAAGACGTACCTTATTTTTCAATATGAACTAAATGATGATTTAAGGGCTACATTTGACTTAAGTTCCGATGTGTCCTTAAAAAAAAACGTTTTTTTAAACTGAAATATTTGGTGGGTTTTATTTTGATATAGAATTCATTAACAACATGTGAATGCAAAGTAAAAAAAAATAACACACAACTCATTCTTTAAGACACTGTTGCAGGTTGCAAAAAGTACAATGATGTTCTGTGTCATCGTAAGCTAGATAATTAAGTTTCAATGGTGTATTTATACTGTTTGTAAGTTGAGGGGAAATTAAAAAAAAAACCAATGGAGACAAAATTAAGGAAACTCAGAAAACAGACGTTTGCACTTACTTGTAAGTCGTCGAATGTGATTGATTTGTACACACTTGGAAATATGATAAAATTGTATCCAGGAGGTCCCAAGTGTAAACCTTCTCTGTCAGTGGTATCATATAACTTTTTCTTCAGTGTATCGTACTTTAGACCGACTGTAATAAATAACCCAAATAATATGGCATGTTATTAATATTTTCCCGCGTTTCGATCAGTATAGCGGGAAAATGTTGTATTCTCGGAATGTAATCGTTAATTTTCGGTAGGCCGATGTTGAACTGTCCAATCATTATGCATTGTTGTCATATTTAAGGTGTTTTGTGTAAGGTAGCTTCACTTTCTAGCCGTCGTATTGACTCCATTATTTTAAATGTTTATATATCTATTGTTAGACAAATGTTTTTGCTTATCGTAAACTGTTTGTAACGACGAGGTCCGACGTCATTATCCTGAGATAAGCTCGAGCATTGATTCGGATACAGGTTTCCGTAATGCGGTTTTTCCTGGTCGGCCTTGGCTATCAATGGTCATCAATGAGGGGTAATTTATCAAACGTACAGCTTCCAATATTTTGCTGTGTTTTGTCTACATAATGATATGATTGGTGAATGAAAATGCCAATTGATTACTGATTTATATGTTTATTTGATGATATGTCACGATTATATATTATATACAATTATATCGCGTCCCGGCAGGGGCGGATCCAGCCATTTATAAAAGGGGGAGATCCTAACCAGGCGGGGTGGTTCCAACTATGTGTCCCCATTCAAATACATTGATCGTCAAAAAATAGGGGTTCCAACCCCCGGAACCCCCCTGGATCCGCCACTGCGTCCATCACGTACGACGGGCTGTCGGCAAATTTGAATTTGCGTTTAAGTTTATTTATTTTTCTGCCATGCGTACAAAGTAGGTGTTGTTGGTGTGCTGTCAATGGCAGAAAAGGGTGTCATTTGTGTGTCTGTCGTCTGTAGTATAGAGAATACTAAACGTATTACTGCGTTTACAAATACAAAGTGACCGTGAACTATCTGACGACAAATAAGCACACATCACGTGACTGTATTGTCACTTCTCATTCCAATGAGAAAGATTTATTAACAAGTCTCTATATTGTTTTTGATTGACCGTTTCAGAATCTAAAGGACTGTGGGCCGGTAACAAGAAGCATTCTTATGTCTTGCGAACGTCTAAAGAGCGTCTTAAGATTTAAGAGTGTAACAAGACCCAACCTCAGACCTATCTTAGAATGATTGACAGCCCTTAATGTTTTGAAAAAGTGCATGATTTAAGAACGATTCTTAAGTCTACCTTAAAGCGATCTTACCAATTCTGGTAACACTAAATCATTCTTAAAATTTGGTCAGTTATTAAGTGTTCTTAAAACAAACTTAGCGACTTAGGGGTGTACCAAGAACAACTCGCAATAGCTTCTCTTGATATTTTTTGTAAGAGTGGTCCCGACTACTCTTAGCTGCACATTCACTTGTTTAAAATAATATAATAAAATGGCGTTGCTACTGTTTGTATGTCAAAAAGGCTAAACTAACTTTACTGAAACTTTCTTCGAAAAAAATCACGCGCAATTTTGTGAATGAAAGCGGAAAGAAGATCCTTACGCGGTGCACCCGCGCATGTAAATTGCTTACTGACCCAATAATTTTTTATCACGACCAGTCAACTGATATTGACATTATCAGAAAGTACACATCAAAGGAAAAATGCACAAATTACCGATAAATTGTTATATATGATATTATAGAATTAAATATGTTTTATTACAAAAAATGTGTTCTCAATCTTGTAGACAGATATAACAGGATGTCGTATCAGTACCAAAGATAACTCTCCATCCAAGTCACAATTTGTAAAAGTAAACCATTATAGGTCGAAGTACGGTCTTCAACACGAAGCCTTGGCTCCCACCAAGCAGCAAGCTATATAGTCTATATCAATCATGACAATAAACATAAACAAATAAAAGTATAACAACTATCGCTTACTAATAATCCTGTCTATATGTATAACATGAACTGGTTGCCATCAGAAATGGAAATATAAATATTCCAACTAACAAAAGCATATGCTTACACATGCAACCAAATATAAAGCACTAAATGCTAATACCAATATGAAGCTCTCATCTATAGAACTTACAAAACAAAATGTCAAGATTACAAGCCACAACGTAATATATCAAAAGATATAAGAAGCCAGCTGACAACATGTTCTAGAAAATTATTTGCAATTAATATTTCATTCCAAATCAATTACAACAAAACATTTTCTTACAGTATTACTACATCTGGAAATTAGTAACCTGTACCGTCAAATCTAATTGCTTCTTCTAAGACAAAAAAACCAGATAAGATATTCATCACTTATATACATACAAGATGTAATATTCTTATATTTTAACGGCCTTCTGTAGTAGTCCATTTTGTCAAGCATTAATTCTCAAAAGTAAATAATACGTTTTTCTTATCAAGTTGATTATAGTAACCTCACAAACTATTACATAACTGTCCAGACACAGTATGCATTTTAAAACTACTTCCATTGTCATAAACAGTAAACAATCACATTCCTCAAAACAAAGATAAAAGTGTTTGTATTGCTACTCTAGCTATTATATATATATACTGTCTGAAATGCTGAGAAACTGGGAGAAGTGCTGCAAATGTTGCCTACAGATGCATCACTCATCAACTTTTCACAGTAAGGCAACCGAAAATAACTGTAGGATATTTTGCAATGTTACCTGGAAAAGTATGAATGTTATTTACATTCTAGAATGTTTGTGGCCTCCAATATGTTGGTGAGTCAAATCAGCCTTTCCGCAAACGCCTCAATGGCAATAGTAGTGATATCTCTAAGAAGCCACTTCTTACAGTTTCTCAGCATTTCAGACAGTCGGGTCACAAACATGATGACTTTAACCGCATGAAAATCCTAGTGATTGAACAGAACATTCACTGGAGTGATGCCCAGCGACAGGTTCGGGAAAGCTTTTGGATAAAGGAACTTAATGTACATCATCCAAACGGCATCAAAAAGAAATACTAACAGTTTTATTTTTCACTCATTTTGGGATGTAAATATACTCAGATACGTATATCTGAGTATTGAGTTTTGTTTTATATTATGATGTTCAAGATTTTGGATTAAATCAATAGACCAAAACTTACCTGTATTACTGGGCTATTTTACAAATACAATTAGTATTGTTAAAATTATTGACACTGACGAAGGCTATTTTTCTTTAGCCAATATATTTATCAACACGATTTAATAACAACATGTTTGTGTAATATCATCTTATATTAGTACCGTTGTGCAAATTTTTAGACTTATATACATAAAGTACAATAGTATGCAATTTTATCTGGATATAAATATAAATTATATCATATGAGACTATAATTCCTCCTTCCATCATTACCCTGATCCACCAATACTACAACTAAAAACAAGAACCAGGAGAGATAAAAAAACACTATATATTCATATTGCTTGGAGTGCAAGATTCTAATAAAAAACCTATACCCACAAACCACCGATCTCGACATAATCAGCTAAAATACGGCAAGCTTTTTACAAAAGCTATTACTTGTTAGAATGAACCGTTAGACTTCCTTACGTTAAATTGGTAGTTGATTATTGTGCGCATTTTATCGTTCATTAAAACGTTTGTATGATTCATTTGAGGCGATTCTAATTTCTTTGCGAGGAGCCTAACACGGAGACGCCGGAAAATTATTAAGAATTCGTAACATGAAAACTATTACGATGCAAATTAAGGGGGAAATAAGACCGATCTACGAACAACCTGAGGGAGCTTTGATTTACACTCTTTGAATGATCTTAGGATTATCTTATCTTCCCCTTAATTCAATACTTACGACCTCTCTTTATAAAATTTCTTGTTACCGGCCCCAGAACTTTACCTAATAATGTCATGCAATAAAATCTGTTCAATCTTCTGAAGTCACATCCAAATAGTTGTTCACACCTCACAAACGTATAGTTAAGATTGAACTTTTTTAAGCCGTGCATTGCGTTTTATTATTTTTAGATTTTGAATTTTGTGTTTATATTTAAATTGCAAAGGTATTTTTAAATGCGGTGTTACATGCAATCAATTGTTGATTGATACTTACTTTCCTCAGACGCCAGTTTTTTCAATGAGACAGCTATTAAAACTATACTAATGAAGGCTATAGCTACGACTAAACCACACACACCAAAGCAGATTATACGACCTACACTACCATTTTCACCCATCTTGATCTACAACTAATATTTAAGTTCTTAAAATTTAATAATTTCATAGTTCCCCCGAATAGTACTATCACATATTTTAAGTTTGAACATTACAAAGCGTTTAGTAATACCATTATCTGATCAACAAACCACTACGTGCAGTTGCATTCTGTGCCAGTTGTTATGAAAATATGCGAACCCGATTAATGCAGGACTTCCCCGTGATAGACTCTCCGAGCACACGCACTTGTCTCTGAAAAAATTTACCTTTACACTTTAATTTTTTTTTTTCATTTTCACCTGTTGCTAGGCCGGCGATTTTTTTCGCACAAACCCGAGCGAAAATTCATTTACACTTTTGAAATTTGAAATTGTTCTCGAGATTTTCACGTAAAACTCACGTGAATTAAGATAATGTGAATGTATTGTCTTTAAACAAAATATAATTCTTCTGTTTGAGTATGTCCTTTCAAGGATTTGTATAGAAATCTTTCATCCTTTGATACAAAATTTTACAAAAACAATTTAATATTGTATCAAAACTGTCTTCCGCTAACGTGATAAGTTATTACATTCAAGGACAATATTGTTATTTAATGCGCAATTATGACAATGTGAAGGCGTTGAAGCGAAAAACCATAGACAGTTGCAAAATTTTGCTGTTCCAGGACTGATTTTGCGATTAGATTTCTTTTTTGTAATTTTATCTGGTTTGATATTTAAAAAGTAATTATGTATAAAACTGTACCTGTTATCGGAAAAGGAGAGAATAATAAGACAAGAAGTTGACAGGATATCCCTACTAGTATATGTGACATCATCACGTGTAAACTTGTTGTGCACAAACAAAATTTATATTTTGTAATTCTACGTGTTCAGTTATTTTTTTTATTTTCTTCTAAATTTTATCTATTGTGTCTATCATCATCGTCGTCGTTTTCATCATCATCCTAGTCGTCATCATCCTAGTCGTCCTCATCATCATCGTTTCGTTCAGTATCTTCTCAGTTGTCGTCGTTTGTAATTTTATTAGTACTGAAGATGGCGTTTTATTGTTTTATCACTTGAAGAATTATTTATAACAGATCACAGTAAGATAGTACTGATTGTATTAATTCTAGTACATCAAATTCAACCGTGTAGAATCATGCGGATAGTCTAGAGGCGGATTTAAAGGGGGGAATATGGAGCTACATTATTATTGTCATATATGGTTTATGCAGAGACTTTTCACATCCTAACGTTGCCTTGATGGGTCCCCTATTTTAACATTCTGAATCTGAAACTGTAGAGAGTAATACAAATATATATGGGTTTTCTTATTGTGTCTAGACACTCAACTTGAAAAGGGGGGGGGTTGCACTGACGTAAAATTGGTATATCCCAGCCATATTTCGTGTCTGTACCAAGTAAAGTTATCTGGACTTTGTGTTGTTTTTGTCTACCTTTGGGAAGCGTTTGCATGAGTCGGTTTCACAAAAAACTTTCGACTAAGATTGGTCGTAAATCATGCACATTTCAGTATACTTACGATCAATCTTAGTCGTAATTTTTTTTGTGAAACCAACTCCTGGTGTTAAGTGTGGTCTGTTGTGGTTTGTTTATGGCAATACCTGTTATGTTGTATAAATGCATTAAAAAGGACAAATATTGAAAATAAAACTGTATATCCAATATCAGAGGTCGATTACTAGGAGAAGCGTGCAAATAAACTCGTCATACACTATTGCATACAGTATTAGGAAAACAGACCAAAACACGAAAACTTAACTTTAACCACTGAACCATGAAAATGAGGTCAAGGTCAGATGAAACCTGCCAGACTGAAATGTACCCATAACAATCATTCAATACACCAAATATAGTTGACCTACTGCTTATACATGGGCGGATCCAGGGGGTCATCTGGGGCCCGGCCGCCCCCCCCCCCCTTTCGTGGGAAAAATTTGGTTTGATTATATAGGGAATCACTGAAGCATGACTGGAGCGGGCCCCCCTTTAGGTCAGATAGCGGGCCTCCCCTTATGAAAATTTCTGGATCCGCCACTGTTATATTATTTGAGAAACGGACCTAATCACGTAACTTTAACCTTGATCACTGATCCATGAAATGAGGTTGAGGTCAGGTGAACTATGTTGACGGACATGTAGACGTTGCAAGGAACACATGCACCAAACATAGTTATCCTTTAACTCATAAGTGAGAAATTCACTTGACAAAAAAACTCAAATTTTTTTTCAAGCAGTCGCTGAACCATGAAAATGAGGTCAAGGACAATGGACATATGATTAACGGAAACTTCGTAACATAAGGTATCTACATACAAAATATGAAGCATCTAGTTCTTCTACCTTCTAAAATATAAAGCTTTATACAAATAGTTTACGCCGCCGGATAGTAATACCTATGTCTCTCATACTGCAAAGGTGAGATAAACTAAAGGCTCTAAAGAGCCTGTGTCGCTCACCTTGGTCTATGTGCATATTAAACTAAGGACACAGATGGATTCATGACAAAATTGTGTTTTGGTGATGGTGATGTGTTTGTAGATCTTACTTTACTGAACATTCTTGCTGCTTACAATTATCTCTATCTATAATGAACTTGGCCCAGTAGTTACAGTGGAAAATATTTTGTAAAAATTTACCAAAATTTACAAAATTTATGAAAATTGTAAACAATTGACTTTAAAGGGCAATAACTCCTTAAGGGGTCAATTGACCATTTTGGTCATGTTGACTTATTTGTAGATATTACTTTGCTGTACATTATTGCTGTTTACAGTTTATCTCTATCTATAATAATATTCAAGATAATAACCAAAAGCTTCAAAATTTTCTTAAAATTACCAATTCAGGGGCAGCAACCCAACAACGTGTTGCCTGATTGGTCTGAAAATTTCAGGGCAGATAGATCTTGACCTAATGAACAATTTTATCCTCGTCAGATTTGCTTTAAATGCTTTGGTTTCAGAGAAATGAGCCAAAAACTGCATTTCACGGGTATATCCTATTTTTTAGCCATGTGACCCATGTCGGCCATCTTGGTTCGCGAGAGGGGTCATCGGACACATTTTTTAAACTAGATACCCTAATGATGATTGTGGACAAGTTTGGTTAAATTTGTCTTAGTAGTTTCAGAGGAGAAGATTTTTGTAAAAGATTACAAAAATTTACGAAAAATGGTTAATCAAAGAGCAGAAAGCTCTGAGGAAAAATGACGCCACTGTCTCTAATATTGAGATATTTTTTATGCAAGTCTTGATTTTCACATGTCGTAATAAGTTTCACATTGCAACATGTCTCGTAAGCATATAATTGATATTCGTATATGTGTCTGTTTTTTCAGTACAAAATGAATAGGTCAAGACTACCTGAATGATCTACAGTATCCAATTACTACTGGCTGTTTTTTTGTATAAATAAATAGGTCAAGACTACCGGAATGATCTACAATATCCAATGACTACTGACTGTTCTTTTGTACGAATAAAAAGGTCAAGACTATTTGAATGATCTACAATATCCGATGACTACTGGCTGTTCTTTTGTACATATAAATAAAGACTACCTGAATGATCTAAAGTATTCCAAGTAATGTGAATTTTTTCTTGCAATTACATTTTTCTAAATCAAGAATATAGACTACTAGTATCCTTTTCAAACCAAATGATTATGAAGAGCCTGTTGTTAGCAAGCTCTTATACCCCACATACTCATTAAATAAGCTACTAGTGACCTAGTTATTTCTGTTACTTGAAGCAAATTATATTTATGTATATTTAGACAATTGTATAATATTGTTTAACTAGTTTTATTTCACCTTGAAGATTAGAAAAATAGGGATACTCCTTCGATTTTTTTATTTCATGTCAGTCAGGTCTCTTTATATGAAACTTGAAACCACTTCTCTGCCATATTGTTATTTTATAACAACTCTGCCCTTGACCATGTTGACCCATGTAATTGATATTCATTCTTTAACCATATATCATAGTCAGTTAGTTTTTGATTTTGCACTCCCACACCACCTTTCATGTCTTTCCGGTCAAATGTCTGTCTCCATTTAAGTTAATGACATTGAACAATCATGGTATTAAACACAATTTCAATAGTGATATTGCTGTTCTCGTGGGTCACCATATATTCAACTCGGGTAGCATTCCAGTTATTGAAATTTGTGTCAGATTAGAACAATGATCTAGATCTTTAGGAATGGATCTTATAATTTAATATGGAGCCATAGTATGGGACCCCTACACGGTAACAAAAAAAAAAGCTTGAAAAGATACAATGTCAAGCGGCAAAATCTATCACCAGAGATTACAAGTCAAAAGAGGATAAACGGGATACGTCTCTAAAATGCTTGCTGAACTGGAACTTCAGCAAGATCTCCAGACAAGACGAACAAAGCGTTGAAGCCAGAAGTTAATATTTATGTAAAAAGTAGTTGAGGGGCTGATTCCCGTTATTGAACCATACTGTCATTCTATAATATCATTGCGTAAGTATTTCTGTATTGGTCTTGTTATTGGTCCATGTCTTGGGTGTATTGGTCTGAGGCGAAGTGGAAGGCCAATACTGCTGGCCGAGGACCAATAATAAGGCCAATACAGAAATACACGTAATAGTATCTTTATTAATTAACTACAGTGTTACAATATTTTTTTTATTTCATTTCACAAGAGATAAACATTTTTACTTTGAAGTGGAACTATCCAAATCTCAGTTTCCTTTTATAAGATGCAATATCTAATGATTCGTTGCCGTTTGACTGCTGGCCGAGAACCAATAATAAGGCCAATACAGAAATACACGTAATAGTATCTTTATTAATTAACTATAGTGTTACAATATTTTTTTTATTTCATTAGAGATAAACATTTTTACCTTGAAGTGGAACTATCCAGATCTCAGTTTCTTTTTATAAGATGCAATATCTAATGATTCGGTGCCATTTGAAGTATCTTCAGCCTTTTCTTATCTGATGAATTTTTCTACCCTTTCCAGTCACTATAAAGTGTTACAACTTTAATTTAGACACAACACATAAATAGTTATTGGAAAGGTTCTGCCATTGCATGTGTAATGCAAATATATTTTTAAAAAAAATAATGTAAGAGTTGAAATTGATACAACTATCCATAAGCCAATTGACCAAAGAACGAAGATTTGCACAAATACAGAATGCATATGCCTGGTTCGGGTTTAAAAATAAACGACCGTTTAAATACAAAACATGAGAAGCGACAGTAAACAGTAAAAATCGATTTGTACCATCGACATGATGAAATTATGAGGTCGTCAAGAAATGAACTTTGTGATAATTTACTCGTTCCCCAAATCTGAAATAATCCCATCGTCTACTTTCAAAATGCTTTCTAAATGAATGGGACCGTCTTTAACCTAAAATATATGCCATACTGAACGTTTCAGCTTGTTTATGGTGAGTAAACCTGCGTCTTACAAACAACTGTTTACTTTCAGTTTGAGTTTATCGTGACTTACGATATAAAAACTATAGACGTTCCGAAATCCTGTTTTGTAAACAAAGATTCATACGCACCGCGTGGGTATAACCGTATTACTAATTTCCGATTTTTAAAATCTTCGTAAATCTGGATAAAGACCAGTTTCTATCCAATGGATATCAAAATGATTCCGATTTTCACTTTTTTTAATGATTGTAAAGTTGAAATGGCATGAAAGGCTGACATTATTTAGGAGAACTAGTTTGTCTAGCGATTACTGATCATTGGAGGGTAAAAAGTCCAACACCATAACAAAACGGATCTATTTATCATGTATACATACCGATTGTTTACGATTGTAAGACATGTGCATAAAAGTGAAAGCTCGAATAAATATGAAAAATATAACAAAGGGATGGCTCCAAATACCATTTAATAACAAAAAACATATGGACAGGTCAAGATATCTTTTTGGTAAATAAAATAAAGTATGTAAACTGGTTCCCGTCCGACTACAACACTTTGTTCGTGTGTAGCGTAATACAAGCAGATTCCAGTTAGTATGTAAAATAGTAAATATGAAACCGAGTGCGAAAGGCGGAGGCAATAATCGACTTCCGTAAGTTCTGGTCAATGGTATTGGAAACATGCCGCTGATAGCGTCATTTTCCAAAAATTGACTATAAAGGGCAATAACTATTTAAGGGGTCAACTGACCATTTTGGTCAAGTTGACTAATTTGTAGATCTTACTTTGCTGAACATTATTGCTGTTTACAGTTTATCTCTATCTATAATAATATTCAAGATAATAACCAAATTCGGCAAAATTTCCTTAAAATTACCAATTCAGGGGCAGCAACCCAACAACGGGTTGTCCGATTCATCTGAAAATTTCAGGGCAGATAGATCTTGACCTGATAAACAATTTAACCCCATGTCAGATTTGCTCTGAATGCTTTGGTGTCAGAGATATAAGCCAAAATCTACATTTTACCCCTATGTTCTATTTTTAGCCATGGTGGCCATCTTGGTTGGTTGGCGGGATGGCTGAACACATTTTTTAAACTATATACCCTAATAATGATTGTGGCCAAGTTTGGTCAAATTTGGCCGAGTAGTTTCAGAGGAGAAGATTTTTGTAAAAGTTTACGGACAACGGACGCAGGACGCCGGAAGACGGACGCCATGTGATGAGAAAAGCTCAATTGGACCTTTGGGCCAGGTGAGCTAAAAATGAGAAATTTTGTAACAAGTCACATCTGAGACATAAAATATTGTAAGTATAATAGTCCCAGGTCACATCAAAGATGACTTGCAAATTCAACTGCAAATTAACATTCTACACATGAAATCTTTTTTTATGTACCTGCGATTAATTTTTTTATACTACCAAAATTGAAATGGACAAGGTAATTAAATGATAGGATAAATTCATTAATTATCTGTCTAATATGCATTAAAAAGTGTTGGCCACACAATGTTGATACTATAAAAGAAATACTGAAAGAAGCTCCTCTGAAAACAGTTTGAAGTAATAGGACACAGAGATATTCCTACATAAAAGGTTGCATACTTCTAGTAATGGACCTTCTGCTAATATTAGTGTTAGTTTTATTCACATTTTTTTTCTAAGAGATTGATTATTTGCTGAATGTCCAGTGGCAAACATATCATGCATGTTCAATATATCATGCATGTACAAATTTGAAAAACCATAAAACTGTAAACAGGGTTGACCATGATAAAGGGATGAACAATTGGACTACTTTTTACAGGCACCTGTTTCTGAAATTTGTTTTTACCTAAATACCTTACTGTACATAGGTATTTTGTTTCAGTGATAACTGCCCGTGCTACTTTTGGGAAAAAAGGAAATGTTGGATAATAATTTGGAATTGCAGCAGGCCACCTACGGATCCCTCAATGAATTATTGCAAGGGTTTTAAAATATTATGTATTGTTGATGCGATGTCTTCATTTCGTAGAAGCTCACATCCTGTCGGCAATTTATGTTAGGGTAGGCATGAAAATTTAGGGTAAGAAGGGAGGCAGGAAAACATCTAGTATCAACTCAACACCAGGCCCACTGATGTTTCATTTAATCACCTAACATGTACTCTTTGTAAGATAGTTGTCTCATTTAGTATACAAGTAATTTACAGTACACAACAAGTGAGTCAGTTAAAAACTGTTATACAGAATATTCGTGACAGTGGATGATTCACTCAGAAATTCAGGTGATTGCGATTGATTCACTCAGAAATTCAGGTAAATATGGGTGATTTACTCAGAATTCAGTCGACTGGTTGATTCACTCAGAAATTCAGATGAATATCAGTGATTTACTCAGAATTCAGGCGATTGGTTGAATCACTCAGAAATTCAGATGATTATGGGTGATTTACTCAGAAATTCAGCTGAATATGGGTGATTTGCTCAATATTCAGATGAATATGGGTGATTTACTCAGAAATTCAGCTGAATATGGGTGATTTGCTCAAAATTCAGATGACTGTGGTTGATTCACTCAGAAATTCAGGTAAATATGGGTGATTTACTCAGAATTCATATAATAGTGGTTGTTTCACTCAGAAATTCAGGTGAATACAGGTGATTTACTCAGAATTCAGGCGACTGGTTGATTCACTCAAAAATACAGATGAATATGGGTTATTTACTCAGAAATTCAGGTGAATATGGGTGATTTACTCAGAATTCTGATGACTGGTTGATTCACTCAGAAATTCAGGTGATAGTGGTTGATTCACTCAGAAATTGAGGTGAATATAGGTGATTTACTCAGAATTAAGGCGAGTGGTTGATTCACTCAGAAATTCAGAAGAATAAGGGTGATTTACTCAGAAATTCAGGTGAATTTGGGTGATTTACTCAGAATTCAGATGACTGTGGTTGATTCACTCAGAAATTCAGATGATATGGGTGATTTACTCAGAAATTCAGGTGAATATATGTGATTTACTCAGAATTCAGGTGAATATGGGTGATTTGCTCAGAATTCAGATGACTGTGGTTGATTCACCCAGAAATTCAGGTGAATATAGGTGATTTACTCAGAATTAAGGTGACTGGTTGATTCACTCAGAAATTCAGATGAATAAGGGTGATTTACTCAGAAATTCAGGTGAATATGGGTGATTTACTCAGAATTCGGATGACTGTGGTTGATTCACTCAGAAATTCAGATGATATGGGTGATTTACTCAGAAATTCAGGTGAATATATGTGATTTACTCAGAATTCAGGTGAATATGGGTGATTTGCTCAGAATTCAGATGACTGTGGTTGATTCACTCAGAAATTCAGGTGAATATAGGTGATTTACTCAGAATTAAGGTGACTGGTTGATTCACTCAGAAATTCAGATGAATAAGGGTGATTTACTCAGAAATTCAGGTGAATATGGGTGATTTACTCAGAATTCAGATGACTGGTTGATTCACCCAGAAATTCAGGTGAATATGGGTGATTCACTCAGAAATTCAGGTGAATATGGGTGATTTACTCAGAATTCAGGTGATTGTGGTTGATTCACTCAAACACCATGTATTGATTGATACCACATTTGCATATATCCAAGAAAAGAAACTAACTGCATAATTCATTTATCAATAATATAAATTTAAAATTGTATCCACAAGTACATTATGTGGTGACAACACTTTTGATCTACAAATGTGTAAAATGTATATTTCATAAATTTAATAAATACAACACATTTAAAAATAATCGTCATGCATAAAATTTTAATTAATTATTTCATATAATTGTTAAGGCTATCTGTTTTAAATAACCACCAACCATCAAATTTGATTAAAAGTGCCTTACTTTTTAGTTTTATACAGTGACTGTATAAACAACTTGAAAGCTATCTTGCATCTTCTTTGTTTATCATATCATTATCATTGCACAAATTTTAAGACTTTTATAAACAAAAATTTCTATATAAATTTGTGTAGTATCAAATTTGGTGGTTGGTTGTTTATATAGATTTTTATATATAGATATAGGAAGATGTGGTATGAGTGCCAATGAGACAACTCTCCATCCAAGTAACAATTTATAAAAGTAAACCATTATAGGTCAAGGTACGTATATATATATAAACTATATTAAGGAGATAGGATTTGATGTTTAAATCAATACAATGTAATTATTCATATTGAATACAAGTACACATTTAAGTGCATTTTCAGCCTTCATTTATTTCATTTAACATATATGTTAATAAAAGATTCCATTTGTCAACATGTTCATAATATTGTTTGAATTTCAGAGAAAACACCATTTAATCCAGAACTTTGCTGATTGATTCAAAATAGGGGGGGGGGGGGGGTTGGAGGGGTCCTGATCCCGAAATCCCGGGCTTAAAAACATGGAATCCCGAGGTTCCGAATTTAAAAAAAATTTAAATCCCGACATCCCGAAATTCGAAAAAAGAATTAGCCGGATCCCGAAAGGATCAATCCCGAAATCCTGAGCTTAAAAACACCCAACACCGGAGTCCCGATAAAGTTCCTACCCCCCCCCCCCCCCTCAAAATAGAAATTGTCCATGAAACAATTTCCTAAATTTCATTTTTTTTTAAATTTTGATCAGATGTCACTATAATCATGATACTACTTTATTATTCTTATGAATTGTTGAAAAGTAAGATTCAAACAAAATCATGAAAACTAATCATAAGAAAAAAATAATATTTGTGAGTTTAAGGAAAATTTATAAAAATAGTCTGAAAAATATTGAAAGAATAACTTTTGTCCACTAGCTGTACTTTAGTACATAAATCATTTCAAAATGTAAGTATTCTTCTTATCAAAACATGCAAAAAGCAGGTAATACTGTTATGAATCAAAATTATAATATATAAATAATATACATATGTATAACATCACAAGTGTAAGTAATCAAAAACTAAAACTTATTTTTCCCAGTTTAGTTCACAAGATTAAACTTTAAACTACAATATTAAGACTTAATGTACCCTATAATAAAAACAAATTTATCATATTTTTTAATTATTACTCATAATTTGTATCTATTACTTCAGTTTTTATAACAATATTTAAGTTGTCAAAAGTGTTTGTTTCCTCTGTGGAATCAAAACCAAAGTTTGTCTGATGCACATTTTCCATGATATTAATATCCTGAACTTCATTATATTTAAATGCATTATTTGAACAATCTTGAACTTCATTAAGAAAATTTGGAAAATCTTGAACTTCATCATACTCATTGATAATGTCAGTAGTTTTATTGCTAATATCTTGAATTTCATCAGCTAAATTATCGAAGTCCTCAGTATTTTTGCTTTTATTAGCAAAAATTGGAACTTCTTCACAATTCACTATATATAGGTTAGTCTCCTTTATATTAGAAATTGACTTTGGTTTTCTTTTAGATTTTTTCGTTTTAGTTGAATATTTTCCAGTAGTAGATTTCTTTTTTACTTTTTTATCAGATGAAGTGTTGCTTTTCAAATTCTTTCTCTTGTTGTATCGTCTTTTCTTAGAATGTTCACTTTCTGTCAATTCCTTTGCCTCTGGAGGCCCAGGACAAGGGTGATTTTTTGCATCTTTAACACGTTTGAATCTTTGTCTGCAAACACCACATTTTTTTGGATCTAATTCGCCATTATGGACTCTCATATGACCGCTAAGATTTGAAGTCTGAGCAAACCTCCGACCACAGACTGTACATTCGTATGGTTTCTGGCCACTACAGATTATAATGTGCTTTTCTAAGCTGCTTTTAACAGTAAACTTTTTATCACACATTGTACAAGGGAATGGTCTATAGTTAGTATGTATTCTCAAATGTATTGATAATTTTCGATTTTCAATAAAAGTTTTCCCGCAGTAATTGCAAACAAAAGGACGGTGACTCGAATGTATTTTCTCATGAATTTTCGATTTCCGTAAAGCATGGAAGACCTTTCCACAGTGTTGACAAGGGTACTCTTGAAAGACTAAAATTGGCTTGTAAACTTCTGAATTGGTCAAATATTTTTGACCATCACTGTTCAAATCTTTTTCATTTATTTTACCATTATTTTTCAATAGATTTTCGACCTCAACCATAAAACCAACGTCATCCAGAACTTTTTCACCATGGTTCTTTTCAGTATTAACATTTTTGTCTTTACAACATTCAATCACATCTGCTTTTTTGTTCCTTTTACTTGTGTTTATTGTCATGGTATCATTTGACCTTTGCTCTGATAAGCTGCTGGATTGACTTCCCTTAGTTACACATCTATTACCTAATAAAACTGTCTTTTCATCTTTCTTATTCCTAGAGTTGTCTCCCATACTGATTTTCTTCAATTCAGAAATACCTACATTTTCAGATGCATCTGTATCAGAGTAATCTCCCTTTGAATGTAGTTCTAAATTGTCTTCCTTCTTGGGAACAATAAATTTAGCTTTTGCATTGACATTTCTGGGCCCTGAACAAGCATGCATTTTAGCTTCAATGATTCGTTCAAATCTTACATCACATACTTCACATTTGTACGGATCTTTTTCCCCAGTGTGTATTCTAGAATGACTTTTAAGATTTGTATTTTGAGAAAATCCCCTCCCACATATATTACACACATAAGGTTTTTCCCCGCTATGGATCGTCATGTGTTTGTTTAGGTTACTAATTACGTTAAATCTTTTATCACATAGATCACACTTGTAGGGTTGTTCGCCGGTATGTGTTCTCATGTGTCGTTTCAATTTCCCACTTTCAATGAAACCTTTACCACAAATTGTACACACATGTGGCTTTTCACCTGTGTGTATTCTTTGATGATTTTTTAACTTCGATGTGTCAGGGAAAGTTTTCGAACAAAATTTACATGTATGTGGTCGTTCTCCTGTGTGTATCTTGAGATGGTCCCTGAGGCCTCCACTCCAGGTAAAACTTTTATTACACAGACCACAAGTGTAAGGTCTTATTCCATTGTGCATGCACATGTGTGTTTTTAATTTTGAAGGTGAATAAAATGAAGCATCACAAATATCACATTTGTACGATTTTTCTGTCCGCGCAATTAAGTTGGCATGGCGACGGAAATGGTTTTTCATTTCCTTCTTGCTACTTTTACAAACTCCACATTCTGGACATTCATATTGGTCTTTATAATTATGTGATTTTACATGAGTCATTAGTTTCCATGGTGACCTACAAACTTTTCCACATTCTTTACAAATGTGGAGTTTCATTTTCAGAGTAGATTTGCCACGTTTAGTCAACAAATCGTCAGTTATATCGACTGAACTTATTTCATTATCACTACTCCCACTGTACATAAACATGTTTTTTTTAGTTTGGTTGTCAGAAAATGGTGCAACTGGGTTGTCCGAATTTTCAGACAGTGACTGATTTTCAATGCTATTTTCGACTTCAAAATCACTGCTATCTGAGTCATCATCAATGATTTCAGACTTAACTTGTATACTACGTGTACCAGAATTAGTAGAAGAATTAGTATTCCTTGTACATTCTTCTTGACTGCTGTGCTCAAAACCATTATTACCTTGTGCTTTTGCCCTTTGGTTTTGTTCATGTGCTTCTAAATGACTCACAAAGTCATTATCTAGGACATCTTCTGTGCCTAAAATAAGAATCAGACAAAACGTTTAAAATTAATTGGAGTAGTGCACTCTGAATACTTTCTTCTACAATTAATGTTACACTGACCACCAAATGGGTAAGTATCAATGCATTATATCCTTGGCCAGAATTCCATAAATTGTAAAGATCACATACTAGCACGTAGAGGTTGCATTCAACTTTTTGTAAATTCTTACATAAATGAAAAAAATTCTGAGATTCGGATCTCCGAATGCAGTGGGACTTTTCAAGTCTAAAAAAAAAACGACAAAAAAAGACCCCAAAAAAAAGTATAAAAAACCTACACAGCTACTGTTATCAGCATTTTGAGTTGGCTCATGGATCATCTTGTCACATTTACCTGTTCTTGTCTATTGTTTGTTTTATATGCATGTATAATTCATATATTGTAAATTGTGTTTTTTTTCTTTCATATTGTTATTGTATCTCTATACTGATGTTACATGTATGCATTGGCTGTTTGAGAATAAAGATACATTTATAAATTATATCTAAATAAAACAAGTGTAGATCTGTTTACCTGCAAGGTTGGCAAAAAAGCGGTCAATATCGACCATGGTGGCAGTAAATACCAGTAAATACTGGGAAATACTGATCAATACTGTCAATTGAAATTTTAATAGGATTTTACTATTAAATCCAGTCCATACCTGGTCAATTACTTAGTAAATATAAAAATAAGGAAATGTGGCATGATAACAATACTTATGATAATTCCTACTTTTGGTGGTTTTTTTTGTTCTTTTACACAAGTAGGACAGTTCATTTTAGGCTATGGTGAGACAAATGTTCTAATGGAAAAAAAAATACCACTTCCTCACAGATTCAATTAATCTTCCGGTTATTAAAATAAATTTCCAAAAGAAATGTAAATAAATAACTCTTTCTAATCATATGATGAGAACCTATGATTTCATTTTAATGAAAACTGTAGTTTGTGAAGGTGTCATATAATTTTGGATATGTTCCTTTGAGGATTTTTGATAGAGCTTGTTTGTTTTTTATGTGTGTGTTACATTAAGGTGGTACCCAACACCTTCACTAAAATTAATTTGGCTCGTTTAATTTTCATAAAAATTGACAAAGTATTTACTTTGACCCTTTGACAAAAATATAAAAATTTCAAAAAATTTGAACCAACCAATTTATCAGAAAAATTAGACTGGTTATATAGCAGTTTGACAAACACTAACTTTGATCATTGAGAAGCTTAATATTCCCTGAACAACACAACGTAATTAAAACGTTTAGCTGATTTTACTCCCTTTTACTTGAGTTATCTCCCTGTAGTGTTAGGTACCACCTTAAAGAAAACATATGAGAATATGATGATATTATATGATCTCATATGCTTAAAGTAATTGATAATGTAGGACAATTGCAGGAAAATAACAATCAACAGATTACATTATCATGTCTAAGTTCTGTCAAGCTAGAAAATTAAAGTTATTGCCCTTTGATGAGAATATCAAATGTTGTAATATAGACGTGCCTTTCAGAACTTGATACAGTACTGTAAATTCAGAAATTATTGAATGCGAATAATGAGGGTAGTAATGCCCTTTACCGTCAGGCGCCAAACGGTAATTTTCGGCTATCGTTAGCGTCAAATTGGTTAGAATTTTACCGTGATTCATCAAAATATGCTTATCGGGATTCGTCAGCAGACTCAAATAATTACCGTTACCGTTATTTTTGGAAAAAAATTAACATGATTATTCGTCAAGATCAATCTACTTTTTTATCGTCTAAAAGAAAGGGTACATTTTATCGTCATGCACCAAAAATTACCGTTAACGTCATTTGGCAAGAATTTTTACCGTTATTCGTCATGAAGGTACCCTCATTACTACCCTCAATAATGCGACTGGGTCAGTATTGAAATAATAATAATTCGCATTCTGATATCTGATACTGTTTTACATATATGTGGAATAGGATCCAAGTTACATGATACCAGTCCAGTACCCACAAATGAAGTCCCTTAATAAATCTACCATCTTTTAAATGGGTTATTGTACCGAAATGAAAATAATGTAAAGATGCTTAAATTTGTAGTATATCTAAAGGGTATTCATTAAACTTCAACTTCTGTTAAATTTTCAGTGATTCTGAAATGTATAGGGTGGATGATTGTCTGAGTAAATGGTCCAAATTTTATTTTCGATTTTAACCAGGAAGTTAATAAAATGACCCTATTAATACTCAAAACAGTATTGCTCTCTTAAATGCCGGTCATGACCTTCCAAGATTTCTCCCAGAAACCATGAAGGGGGCTACTAGTATGAGAAAGTAATTTAAATTTTGCAGTCTAATATAGGGAATAAAAAATCTGCCCCTCAATTTGGATAAAATTGCATTGAAGTAATGGGGGAAATAATTGGGACCACGTCCATGTAGGTAAATTTTCCTGAAATCTCAATAATTAATCTCACATTTTTGTTCATTCTTCCAAATCACAATAATAAATTCAAGTAATAACTTCTGAATTTACAGTATCAATTTTCTATCATGGTAGGAGAAGTTATTACCCGATGATGAGAATATCATGAGATTGCAGCTGAAAAACTCCCTTCATTTTCAGAACCATAGCTCCACACTAGTAGTTCTATAATTACCTTTATCACTATCGGTTCCATTGAAGTCTCTGTTTAATTCATAACCAGGAAGACAGTTATTCATAAACTGACCAACATCCCCATACTGCTCTTCAATTAAAGATGTTATTTCTGTGGTGTACAGATCCATTTTATGCTGGAGTAAAGATCTGAACAATTTAACAAACCTGAAGAATAAAAAATGAAACATTTATAAACTTGGTATTATTTAGAATTTCAGTTAATTTCAAAAATCAAATTAAAAAATCTCAAAATCAAGAGCCCTTTAGCATCATGGTAATGTGTTGCTATATTGCTAGAACTGGATGCTATCTGAAATGATTTTCCTATGGAGTGATTGATTGAATGTTGGTGTTTAACCAGACTGTCAGTACTAGTACTATTGGATATATTTTGGCAGAAATGATCCACAACTTATGGCAGAAATGATCCACAACTTATGGCAGAAAAACTACCTAAAGATGTCATGCTTTAATCTATAGAAACAAGTGTTACACTATCCTTACTCAATAAAGGAATCAGATTTAACGTCCCCTATCCTTCCACACAACTTATGGCAGAAAAACTACCTAAAGATGTCATGCTTTAATCTATAGAAACAAGTGTTATACTATCCTTACTCAATAAAGGAATCAGATTTATTGTCCCCTATCCTTCCAGACTAAAGCAGAGATTAAACTGCTGGAATTAGATGATATAATAATAAGAAGATGTGGTATGATTGCCAATGAGACATCGCTCCACCAGAGACCAAATGACATAGTAGTTAACAACTATAGGTGACCCAGTGATCTCCCCTGGCTGTTTCAGCTTCGCTTTAATTTTTGTCTGTGACGCTATAAAAATTTCTGCCACGCTATAATTATTTTTTTTTCTTGTCTCTATACATTGCCGCAAAATAGATGTCCTAATTTGAACTTTCATCTAATTACCGCTTGTGATCATAAAAATTAAATCACCTTTAAATCTAATCCATTGAAGTCGGACAATAGAGGCAATTAGGAGTGATTAAATATGTGTTAATTGCCCATGGATGATAACTGTTTGGATACGTATGGTTAGACAATACTTGGTCATGTTATATGAAGTTTAAAGCCCAAGGCGTAGCTGAGGGTTTTAAACATTCATAAAACATGTATATGTAAGAGAATGATAATCCCTTTCTTCATGATTAAGTACGAGCGTTAGCGAGTACTTATCATGAAGTAAGGGATTTTCATTCTCTTACAAACTTAGAATATTGTAAAGTGCTCAAGGCTCAAATGATCTCTGTCTAGATTAGTCTATGAAAAGGTATATACTATGAAATTTAGAGTGAGGGGCTTGCCCCGAGCTCTTAATTTCATAGTCATATGATAGTATACACCTTTTCATAGACTATCCAATTTAGCACATATTTACAACTCAAGTAATCTTTTAATTTGTCTATTGATAGTTTATTTTGGCTGACTACTTGTATCACAGGTGTTTGTAAAACGGAGCTCATTAACGAAGTTTTGTAAATCTACTCACTAATATCATTGTAAAATATATGATTTCAAAAGGCCCTTGACTCCAGAATGAAAAGATGGTAGCTGCTGGTGTAAGTATGTATATTGATATAAAGCGGTGTTATTCTATACATGTACTTCTTTACATGGTAAGATGGCAAAATAAATTGACCAAAAGCAGGCAATAATGAAATTGCAGTGGAAGCTTAACATGTCTTGAAAACATTTTTAAATTTCACAGTAAAACTAAAGCTATAATAAATTTTGAAACATATAGATAGTATGCAGTGGCGGATCCAGGGAGGGGGTTCCGCCTTTTTTGGACGATCAATGCTTTTGAATGGGGACATATGGTTGGAACCCAACCCTTATCCTGGTTGCAACCCCCCTTTTCAAAATGGCTGGATCCACCCCTGGTATGTCCCCATAGATAGTCTTACTGATAGTCATTAAAAAGCAACTACCAAGAGATCAAAGATACTAGGGTTTATGTTTTTTTTTTATTTCAAAGTAAAAACTTAAAAGATTTATCAGAACATGTATATATAGGTGGCACATTCTCTTCAGACATAATCACGGTTTTTCAATTCATGACATCGTCCTGAACATGCATGAAATATTTGCCACTGGACATTAAGCAACCAATTATCAATCAATCAATCAATTCATGACAAAATAGGCCAAGTTGCCTTAATTTCCCTTCACAAGGTTTCATAGTTCACTCTTTTTTGTGTACAAAGCAATTGCATGGACAATTTTACGATGGCGTTGTTCTCTAAACAAGGTATAAAGAACCATATTTGTTACTCTTTATTTAAATGAAAGAAACTTGCAATCGCCGAAAAAGACTTTTTAGATCCAAAGATTTTTTATAGCAGGATATTTAAAAATCAATGTGAAACCTAATTACAAACTATTTAATTTAATTCGGAGCACAGCATTTTACTTCAAAATAGCCAGTGGCAATTTTTGTTTTAATATCTTGATTACGATATAATGAAATCTTACCCTTGTGGTCATTCATGCGTAGATACTTAGTACATGGAAAAAGTATGTACTATGAAAATTAGAAGGCAAATTCAAGCAATTTGATTGAACGAGAAGTTGTATGTTCTTATGATTGGTTGTATTCAAGAATTAGTTTCATTGTCAGTGTGAATTGAATGTTTATAACTGATGCATGACTTCATTTTTCAGCATTTCATTTACAAAAAATGTATGGGTTAGTTTTAGTGATGTAAAGACTTTCTTTTAATTTGGGAAATATTTTTAAAATGTGTTATAGACATTAGGTGACACAACAGAACAAAGAAAAGGTATGAATTGTATCTGCTTCCTGATTGTGAGTATGAATGTAAATCATGTAATATTTTAGTGAAGAATTATTCTTTTTTTATTTACAGTTTAAATCAATAAATACATTTGAGTTACAACCAATTCTATTTCACAGCCAATATTTTAGTCCAACTTTTTAAATCAAATACTATTTCATTATGTCAGGGAAATGTTGAAATAAAATGCCTTTAATTATTTTAAATATATTCAAAACTTAGATCAAATTCCTGGGTTTTTTTTTATTTCTGTTATCGGAATATTGGAAATAACTATTCTTCCCAATCGCCGGTTCAGTAATCAGAGTTTTGGAAAGCTAAAGATTTAGGTTGTTTCTTATTTTAAAACTTTTTTTTCTCTTTTTTTTTTGCATTGCTTAGATATTGTTTCTTTTTTTTAGTTATTTGAAGTTATTAATATTTTTATGATAACATTAAAGGTACAAATTTTACTGCATCAGTAAACTTCAACTTATATTGATTTTTTTGCTTGTTTCACTGAATACAACTTTTAGTATGTTAGTTAGATTCAATCACTGTGATAAATCCTTTCAATCTGATAAATCTGCTTTGGAGCAGTTGTAACTCATTTATAGAAACTCTTTGTTTTGAACTGTAAATAGAACCAAATAATAGGATAATCCCTTACTAAGAACATGATTTACATTCATTCTTCACAATTAAGAGACATCAAATCCTACAATTTCATTGGTCGAGAGCACTTTGCTATATTCTAAGACCAAGTATTGTCTGACCAATTTAGAACATATTCACTTTCGAGTGACCTTACAAAATTATCCTTTCCCATTGTAATATTTAAACTTTGATAAGAATTCACTTTTTATATTGAAGTGTTAACTAGGTTAATAAAAGGAATGTATAACATAGGTAATGATCATTTCAATGGATGGAATGAGATCGCACTAACATAGTTTTGTGAGGACAAAAAGGATAAATTGTTCAAACATTGAGTTTTTCTTCTGCTTCAGGTAAAATTTAATACTGATGTACCTTAAGGAGGTTCGCTACTCAGTTTCAAAATAACAAGCTTTTTATAACACTAGTATATATTGATAGGGGATTAATAAAGGAACCAAAAAAGCAAAAATAATATATAGGTCAATGTGCTTGTTTTCGAGATATAAGCCATTGAAATTTTGGCGGGAAAATGTTCTCTCTTGATTTTTCATAGCTTTATCATTGACAAGTTTAAGTTCCTAAAAAACATTAAAAAATAACAAAGATTTTATATGACTTTTACAGATGGCTCATAATTATACACGTAAAAGATTTATGAAAAGAAAAATGGGGGTCAATGGGCAAAAATTATAAAGGCATTCAAATGGATAAAACCAGAGGATTCCGAAAATCTGACAAAAATCCCAAAACATGACAAGCGAACATCCTTAAATTTCTTATGCTTTAGCATTTCATATGTAAAGTCCAAAGAGAGTCTGAATGACAATGAACAATGAGTTACATTGATTGAATGGGAAAATTGAGTCTAAAAATAGAAACTCGTAACTCATTAGACATACCTCAAATAACACTTGTTAAGATTTTTTTTCACAGAATTTTTTACAAATTTACTATCTGGATGATAAGTTCTATTCAGACAAAAACTAACAGTTTTTTTTTTAATACTTTTTATAATTAATCATTTACTGCGAGTCTTATATTTCCAATTGGGTGTTGGTAGACGAAATAATTACGGTTGACATACTTGGGTAGGACTACTATGAATGATTCCGACAATATAGGTAGGCGTGTTATACATCATTGTGTAGATAAATCAATAGAGATTTACGGCGTAACAAGTTTTAGTGGGGTTGACAACCAAGAAATCGAAATATAACGGAATTTCGCGACCGGGTGACATTTTTCAATAATGCAAGTTAAGTACCTTGAGTTATATTAAGGTAGATAGGAATTTTTTTTTCTGAGACAAGTGCCTGTGCATTTGAACCATAAACCATGATAAACATGTTTTGGGACAGTGGTGTAACAGGATATAAACAGCACAACATATGAAAAAACTATAATAATCAGTTGACAAGGGCTGAACTCATCAGACCGATAAAAAGCAGAAAAACAAGTAACAAAAACACAGTCCGATTATATCGAGTCTGAAATAGTTTTTGACGCAAAAATGGTGGCCATTTTGAATATTTTGTTGTCAAATAATACACTACCCAAAAATATCTTTTTTTGGTTCACCTTAAATTAATTCTTAAACCAAGGGAATAAATGCCAACAAGGTTTCATCATCGAAATCGTCATATTGGACCACTCAAAATTCCTTCTGTGTTTTTTTCCAAGCAGCTGAGGACTGGAACCTCCTGCATAAAACAGTAAACCAGTTCATATTTACGGATATGTACAGTTCGAATGAACCTCATTGAATATCCATATGGTTAGCTATATCATACATTTTAAAGTTTTTAGGAATTAAAAAGGCAAATTATAGAATTAAAAAGGCAAATTATAGAATTAAATTTATTTTTTGTTATGCCCTAATAATGTTACTTAGTCTTTTAATGAGATGTGAAAATCAGAAATAAAGATCCGCACCGTAAGTGTTTCGACATTTATTTAACAAATGTCACTTCCTGTCACTTTCAATATTTTGTTGCATCTAGTCAAATATTACAAAAAGTTGTAAAGCCTAAAGGTTATTGCAAGGTGATTAACGTTATTGTTTTAAGATATAGAATGTCCACTTCACCAAATAGGTAGTTTAAAAGCTCATGGCATTAGCTTGTTAAAGGGAAATCACACTATTTATACTACTAATAATAATTCATTGAAATTTTGCATGTAGTCTGTAGACAGATCATACTTATTAAGATATTTTAGGCGAAAAAAAAATTGGGGTCACCGATGTTGTTTTCGAGATATGACGTCATCAAAACTTAAAGAATCGCGTTATAACGAAATATAGAAATACCGCTCTAAATTGTTAAAAAAAGACAAACTTATTGAAAAACCATGTTTAACTGGAATAACAAAAACAGTCAAATGTAACTTGTACCTAATGAACATTTATTTGTCTCGGTTTCCTTATTTTTGAAGGCATTTGAACATTTCCCGCCATTTTTAATTGCTATTTATAATAGATTTTTCTTGAAATAAAAAAAATCTAATGTTTTTCCCTTCAAACTTCTCGTAAGTTGCAGCTTCAGGGAAGATTTTAAAAGCATAAATAAAAAAGGGGGGTCACTGATGTTTTAAATCCGCTAAAACGGAAATAACCTTTATTATTGAATTTTGGCGGGAACTATATGTAACCTTTTAACGTTATAGAACGACGTTGCAACGCTTTGGTTGAGTTAAACCTTTTCACTACAAAATATAATATCATTTTTGAAAATTTTTTAAGGTACATGTATTTTGATTATTCATTGATATCTTTATCAATCTATCGAATCCTTAAACATAGATACAATACTGAACAGTTTATTATAAAGTAATAAAGTCATCTCATATTTTAAATTGCATTTGTTGTATGGGGAAAACGAATGTTTGCTTCATGCCGTATTATAGAAATAATTTTCGGCTTCCAGATAAAGAATCTTCTACCTCGGAAGACTGAGGTATCCGGGCTGAAAAGTAACACGTTCCTTTCAGACTGCAGGCAGAATAATTTCGTTACCATAATTTCACTAGCTTGTCCATTCGCACCGGGAAGATAAAACCTGAAATGCCGTGTTAAAAATGCCACAAACTCAGCACTTTAAAAGAAACCTATTTTCGGTAGGAATTTAAAATTGGTTCCGTAATTACACAACGCTTCATAATTTATTCGAACTGTGGAAACCAAATTTTTTTCTGAGTTCTATCATCCCGCACCCATTTTTCATACATCGTTTCATGTTCATTGTACATAATATGTTCAATGTTCATCGCCTGTTTATTAAAACTTTATGTATTACGTATATTTTATTACCGTTCAATTAATCGCTCAACGTTGGTATGTTATGAGAAATACAATGCATCTGATAATTTAGAGTTAATTGACAATGAAATACACATCGCCATATTGAAATCAGGAACATATAATGTTCCCAGTTGATGTATTTAAAAAAATCTTTTAATAATAAACGGATCTAGTTTTTTGTTCTTGTTCTGCTACATCTATCCGTGTTTCTGTGGACATGTCGATATATTTTATCTAACTCTAGTTTTTTGTCGAGCCTTCGACTGAAGTCGAAAAAGCGAAACATAGCGATCCTACATTCCGTCGGCGGCGGAGTCCACAAATATTCACTCTGTTGTTAAAGTTTTTGAAGTTTTAATAACTTTCTTAAACTATCCTGGATTTCTACCAAACTTGGACAGAAGCTTGTTTATGATCACAAGATAGTATCCAGAAGTAAATTTTGTAAAAATAAAATTCCTGTTTTCCATATTTGACTTATAAATGGACTTAGTTTTTCTGCCAGGAAACAATACATTTACTCTGTGGTTAGAGTTTTTAAATTTTTAATAACTTTCTTAAAGTTATATATAAACTATCCTGGATTTGTACCAAACTTTGTCAGAAGCTTGTTTATGATCATAAGATAGTATCCAGAAGTAAATTTTGTAAAAAAAAATCTATTTTTTCCCTTTTTTACTTATAAATTGACTTAGTTTTTCTGCCAGGAAACAATACATTCACTCTGTGGTTAAAGTTTTTAAGATTTCAATAACTTTCTTAAACTATCCTGGATATGTACCAAACTTGGACAGAAGCTTGTTTATGATCAAAAGCTTGTATCTCGAAGGAAATTTTGTCAAAATTTTGTACCTGTTTATCCGTATTTTACTTATAAATGGACTTAGTTTTTCTTCCAGTTAACATTACATACAGTATGCAGTTAAAGTTTTTAAAACATTTATTAGATCCATAAACTATCCTAGATTTATACCAAACTTGGACAGAAGCTTCTTATAATCAAAAGATAATATCGAGAGGAATATTTTAATTGATTTGTTTCCTCATTTTTGTTGAGCCTGCGATTAACAGCAAAAGTAGGCGAGACACTGGGTTCCATGGAACCCTTATGAATTTCTTTATCAGATGACAAATAAGAGTGTGGATAACCTTTGATTTAGAATAAGAGTTCGAGTTCCAGCTAAATTTAGAATTAAAGTTCCAGTTTTATTTTTAGTTTGAATGTTTATTCGAGTAAGAGTTCTAGTTAAAGCTTGAGTTCCACTTAGAAACTTCCGAGTTATACTGTAAGATAGAATAAATTCTGGTAAAAGTTAAAATTTTGAGATCTGAGATCGGATGAAATTAAAAGAAAGATTGCAGTTTCTATTTTCTGTTGGTGCACCTCTCTTTCTTGAGTTGTATATTCTTTTATCACATTTATGTTTCAGTATGGTATAGCCTATATACTTTTTTTTGCCAAAACTGATTAATGATAGGTAATTTGAAAATAACTGATTGATTGTGTGTGCCACTTTCAGCACTCTGCTATATCATGTTGGCCATTTTTTTTTTAAAGAACCAAGGTATCAAGAGTAAATCAGCTACCTTTGTATTAAACAAATGGTTGTCCTTTACAGTCATGATCGTAATCTGACAATCTCCCTATATCACTGTTTGTTGACAGGTAAGTGATCACATTGAGTGATCTGAACACGAACCTACATCTGAATTAATAGTTTTTGTTTTGTTTTTGTTTTCGGTTTTTTTTCTTGATTTTTGCAAAACTTTCAGTGGCAAATATTACATGAATATCAGCACAACATTTTTTTCTATATGAGATGAATACTCTTTCACAAGACGGACCTTAATGTGATGGTTACAGATTAGCAATCTGAAAGACATGTTACTCTACATAAATACATGTGTATGTGTTAAATATTTCTCTTGTTGGAGTCTTGTAAAGCCAAATATACAGTGAGGATTTTTTGTTGTTGTTGTAGGCAGTACGGTCATCAATAGTACAAAAATAACTAGGCATAGTGTTTGATATTCCCAGATTGCTCTGACGTCTAGCGGCCTTATTTTTTAACTTGCTGGTCGTACAGTTCGCTATAATTGACAGTATGAAGAAATACTACAAAATATGATTTTTTTTGGTGCCCAAATTATGTAAGCCTGTACAAAGCATTAAAGGAAGATTGCGTATAATGTACCATATAATACGGTGCTAAATTTTCTTTGATTTCGACAGCCAGCAACCGATGTAAAATTTTGTATGCTTCTTTTACAGTGATGTTTAACTGGCGTTATTCTTAAATAACGTTTGATATTTCAACAAATATGATTACTCTACGAATCACTCGTGTTCATGTGTTTGTGCCCCCATACCCCACTTCCCAAAAAAAAAGAAACAGAGAGAGAGAGAGAGAGAGAGAGAGAGAGAGAGAGAGAGAGAGAGAGAGTTCTTATTTACATCCCTCTGTTGGACAGAAAACTACAAATTCCGGAAGCTGTACGCTTACATGCTGTTACTCCTGGTATATTGTTATTTTTCCCAGTATATTCCAACTTACTGCATCGCGACGATACGCTGCCAACAGTTGGGTTACAGGACAATTGCCCGTATTGACCGGATGCGATAGTTATTTAGTTTAGAATATCTGTGCATTAGTAATTTTGTTACCAATTGATAAGTTACTGATTAAAAAAAAATCATGCATTATACACTACTGTTAGCAAAATACTCATTCCATAAAGTTCATCACATTATACATGTACTTTCAGTCCTCTGACATGTCTGAGATCACAATTATTACACTGACTGGTTCCAACTGACATCCTAATCTTAAACATCCCAATATAGTGACTGGTTTCAACTGACATCCTAATCTTAACATCCCAATATAGAGACTGGTTTCAACTGACATCTGAATCTTAAACATCCCAATATAGTGACTGGTTTCAACTGACATCCTAATCTTAAACATCCCAATATAGTGACTGGTTTCAACTGACATCCTAATCTTAAACATCCCAATATAGAGACTGGTTTCAACTGACATCCTAATCTTAAACATCCCAATATAGAGACTGGTTTCAACTGACATCCTAATCTTAAACATCCCAATGTAGAGACTGGTTTCAACTGACATCCTTATCTTAAACATCCCAATATAGAGACTGGTTTCAACTGATATTCTAATCTTAAACATCCCAATATAGCAATTTGTTTTTAAATACCAGTCCATCTAGAGCAATGTCTAAATCACAGTATTCAGTCATAATCATGATAATGATGAAAATGAGAATGGAAACAGGGAATGTGTCAAAGAGACAACAACCTGGCCAAAGAGCAGAAAACAGCCCACGACCACCAATGGGTCTAAAACACAGTGAGAAAATCCTGCACCCGGAGGTGGGCTTCAGCTGGCCCCTAAACAAAAATGTGTACTAGTTCATAGAAAATGGACGTCAAACTAAACTTGACCTTTCAAGCATGCAAACATGTTTATAAAGCCACATCAACACTGATAAAAATACAAGGGCATTGCTTTAACTATTCTCAAATGTATTTATTCAGACAATTGATGGGCAATAACATCCCAAAATAACCATCTTGGATTGACCATCTTGATTAATATAATGTGGCTAACAAAATTTACCTGATCTCTATTCTGAAATAGAATCGATCAACATATTTGTCACATAAAACAACTAACTAGACAACAAGGATACAGATAATTAATTTTCACACAACGAAAAAATAAATTTTGAATCTGAATAGAACTGCTTGACTCTAAAACTTTAACCTTAAGGAGGCTTGAGGGTACAACAATTTCAGAAAAATTTGAAACATTTTTTTTTCTCTATAAATTTTATTTATTACACTATCAATTGTTACTTTATTAAAAGGTTCAAAAATTAACCAAAAAAAATCGATTCGTTTTGACCCCAGATGACTTTTAAAATGTTTATATCATTGAAAAAGCTCCAAATTATCTCCCTTTGGTGCAAAAATGCCATTTTTTTTGCATTAAAATTGAAATATCTTTTTTAACTCATCGGTGACCTATATATTTATTATTATTTTCAAATAAGCTGTACTTAAACTAAACGATTGTAAAATTTAAGCGATTTCTGTAATTTAGTTCTTTTTTTATTTCGATATTACCTATATTTCTCCTATTACATGTAGTTCAACAGAAAAAAAGTACCTTAACAAAAATGCATGCTTCTTTCGAAGGCAGATTGTGAGCTTAAATGAACGGTGACCCCATTATTTTATTTTATTATTCTATAACATGTATAAGGTATATGATAAAGTTCATTTATAGAAAAAAATAGCGAAATCCTATATTAAAAAAAAAATCAATTTATACCCGAATAAATGAAATCAAAACTATGAAATTTACGTATGACTTATAAGTTCCCTATAAAATTTAATTTAAAATTAATGAAATACTGTCATGAAGTATGAAAAATACTAAATTCAAAGCTAGGCACCAAGTATATAGCACAAGGAAATCCATAATACATATAGCTCACATGTATGACATTTTGTCCTATGTCTAACTTGAAAACCTTCACAATAAATAATTGAGGCAGAGCTTGTATAATTATTAAATTATGTACTTGATCTTGATTTAAGGGAGCTACCATTTGATTTTTAGGGGGGGGGGGATGAAATTTGAAAAAAAGGCAGGACACATGTTTTGAGTAAAAAAAAAGTCAGGATGAGCAACTTAGCAAAAAAATAAAGGCAGGATGACAATTTTTGTAAAAAAAGTCAGGATAAACTAATAAAAAAAAGGTAGGACCGAATAGAGTGAAAAAAAAAAGGCAGGACAGAGATAACAACTGAAAAAAATGCAGGACAAAATTTTTCATCCTAGCCCCCAATAAAAATCAAATGGTAGCTCCCTAAAGTCAAGTAGTTTGTCCTCAAAATGTTCCCTCTCCTATTTCACTAAATTTTACTTTTGAAGTTACAATCTTTAATCTTAACCCTTAAGGTGGTACACAACACTATAGGGAGATAACTCTGTAAAAATCAGCAAAACATTTTAATCACGTTCTATAGTTTAGGAAATATTAAGCTTCTCAATGATCAAAATTAGTGTTTTTCAAACTGCTATATATCCAATGAAATTTTTCCTATAAAGTGTGTGGTTCAAGTTTTTTGAAATTTTTATATTTTTGTCAAAGGGTCAAAGTAAATATTTTGTCAACATTTTATGAAAATTAAACGAGCCAAACTAATTTAGTCAAGGTGCTTGGTACCACCTTAAATCAGATTGATGATTTGCTTTCTAAATTATTCAAAAAGTTTTTAGCAGATGTGTCTCTTTGACACATGCCACCTTTCCATTCTCAATTTTAAATTGTGATATTTAAAGATTTAAAATGGCTAAGAGCCAACCTAAGAATTTCATGTCTTTACAAACTTAATTTTTATGAAGACAAATGTTTTATATACATATATGATGATATATTTTGTAGAGTTTTTTTCAGAGTGAAAAATAAGTTGAGTTATCTCCCATTGAATTGATTGTGAAAGTTTTTATTTCCATCTTACATTATACAAATGTTATCAATGTGGTAGACTTTTTTTTAAGCAGCATGATATAAAAATAGATTTTGATAATGGGAAGCTTAAGGATGCACATTAGATAAATAACTGTTTGGTGAATGTGTTTCTTTAAATTTTTTTCATGGTTTGGGCAGTTAAGAAGTTTTTCCTAACACCCCAAACACTCATACAAATTGAATTTTTGAAGAGCGGTAATTTTGTGTTTTAAAAAAGTTATGATCAAATATGTAAAGTCATGGGTAATACATATATACATATGTTTTTATTTACTGGTACAGGTAAATTACTTTAGAGGTAGAGTTATATCACTTAGATATTAAGATTATTTTTACTTACATGTATACATTGTACATACATGTATATAGCTTTAAAAGTCAGATTTTCTTCTTTTCAAGAATTTCTCTCAACTTCATTGCTCTATAAATAGAGTGTGCCATTTTCTGTCAGTATATTGTATTTGTTTGTGATCTTCAAAATACTGGTCATTTACAAGTCTCCATGGAGCAATTTGTGAAGGCCTTGCATAGTTACTTAACATCTGTGGGCACTAGATTTCTTTGTTTAGTACTTGAGATAAAAAGTTGAAAGTTGATTTAAATAAGAATAATAACAAACCAGAAAAAAATGTTTATTAGTGATTTGACCTCCCAAAACTAGAGAACTGATTTGTTATTAGTCTTGACCACAATATAAAACAAAAAAGTAATCATTTTCTTTTATTACAGAGAATCTATACAAAATTGGAATTGAAGAAGTAAGTTATTCAGATATTGATGCAAACAAGAAAGAAACTAATGCTTGCATGGATTCAAATGAAGAGATGAATATAGTTATAAAGACCGAAAAACAGACGACAGAAAATGAACAAGAATCTTTTGGCACAGAAAGCATGCTTGTTAACAAAAGGGAAATGTTTCCTGCTAAACAAGCATTTGATGATGCAGGAGAAATGTACATTTGCAATACAGAGAGTTTACAATTTCATAAAAATGAAGGGGAGGTAACTGTGGATAAGATATTTTCAGGGGAGACAACTAGTACTCTGCTTAAAACAAATGTGAATAAACTGTCAAATCATAACAGCAACAAACAAAAAGTTAAAACTAACAAATTCATTTGTGACCTGTGTGGTGGAAGTTTCAGTTTTAAAAGTGGTTTATGTCGTCATGTTAGAAACATCCATAGGAGCAAAAATTCAAAAATTGATCAAATAAATTCAGACTTGATTTCAACTAAAAATTTGAATGATCAAGTTAAGAGCAGTGATTCATCTTTAGAATTTTTTCCAGAGAAAAACCACCATCACTTCATAAAAGATTTATCGGATTCTGATATAAAGAGAAAATTAAAAGCAAATGTAACAAAAAATCATGATGTGATTAAATTTCCTTGTGACAAATGTTCGGAAAGTTTTGTCACACAAAAGTTGTTGAAAAGACATGCTAAGTCTCATATTTTTTCATGTGAAGTTTGTAAGGTATCCTTTGCTAGTAAAAAAGAATTGGACCGCCATAGAATTGAATCGAATCACAACCCGACATATGCTTGTTCTGTGTGTTCATCAATCTTTGATACTGAAAAACAAGTCATCAAACATATGAGGCTCCATACAGGAGATTCTCTTATTGAATGTGAATTCTGTCTGAAAATATTTAATCAAAAGCACCATCTTGTTAACCATTTGCGACAACATACTGGAGAAACTCCGTTTGAGTGCCTTCTTTGTGGTAAAAAGTTTCGACGAAAGGCATATCTTCAAATTCACCAAATGTCTCATACTGGGGAAAAATTATTTAATTGTGACATTTGTTCTGTAAGTTTGTCTAGTAAATGGAGTTTACGATGTCATATGAAAACACACAAAGAATATGTCGATAGTCGTGATATTAATGAAGCTCTTCAATATCGGTGTGAAGAATGTGGTATGGCTTTTAAAAGAAACGATGCTCTCACCAATCATAAAATGAAAGTACATACAAATGAACGACCATTCAAATGTATGGTTTGTGGAGTGGGGTTCAGGAAGGGGTCTCATTTAGTTAATCATTCCCGTCTCCATACAGGAGAAAAACCATTTATGTGTGAATTGTGCGGTAAAAAATTCAGAAGACCTTCATACCTAAGGGAACATGCTAGAATGGTACATGGTCAAGAACAACCGTTCAAATGTGAAAAATGTCAGAAGCCTTTTATGACTGAAAACACTCTACAGAAGCATCTCGTTACTTGCTCACCTGGAAAACCAAAAAGGACATATGAATGTCACATTTGTCAGAAAACCTATGTCAATAAAATTTGCTTTACAAACCATTTATCTAGATGTCAGAAAAGTTTAGGGGAAGATTTTTGCAACTGCGGTATAAAAAATTCAGCAGATTTGAAATGTAAAAATGTCACAAAAGTTGAATCTGTTACCATGGTTACTGAAGAAACAAAAATAGTGAATGACAGGAAGTCAGATAAAAGGTCGCAAACCATAAAAAGCGTAAATAACAAAAGACTGAAACTAAATAGCGATACATGTATTGACAATCAAGACATTGAAGATATGAATGAAGCAGATGATGAAATTGATAAAAGTCCCGGGATCTCTGACAGTGATGGAACAAAAATATCTTCTGAAACAATTAAATCATGTGAGGACTATATTTCAAATGGAGTATTGGTAGAAAACAATTTTACATCTGAAACAAATTTGTGTGAAGAAGAAAATTCAACTGAAATACCGATAGACAACTTTCATAGTGCTGAAAATGAAAAGAATGAATTGACACCATCTGACAAGTTTGATGCAAGAGAAGCTGGTGATCATTTTAGCTGTAAAAGGTGTGGGAAGCCATTTATGGTTACTTAAGGACAAATAGTCATGTGGGAAGCACTCAAGGTCAAATATTTATTTGGGAAGCCATTTATGATTACTTAAGGAAAAATAGTCATGTGGGAAGCACTTAAGGTCAAATATTTATGTGGAAAGCCTTTTATGGTTTCTAAAGGTCAAATATTCACATATGATTCATTTATATTTGCTATGGCTCAACGAAACCTGATATTTGGTAAACTTTTAATAACAAATTTCACTAAGACAATAGTCAAGATTCAAGGTATATATGAATAAAAAGAGATGTACATGTAAGGTATAAATATCCTTATTTACATTTTGTTTGTCAAATTTTTTGTAAATATGTTATAATATGACTATAAAGTATTATGTTTTTTGTTATAAATTTTATTGTGTGAAAATGTTTACATGTTAAAGTTAATTGTTTAGTTTATTTGTTCAGATTTTTAATTAGATAAATCTATTGTGATGACTTTCATCTTATATTGTTTTATATTATTCTTCTCTCCTTTCTTTCTTCTAGGGTTGCCATTTTTCCTGCCTAAAGTTGGTGGTTCTCTCAGGGCACTCTGGCTTCCATCATCAATAAAAACTGGCCTTCACAATGTAGCCAATAGTGCTGAAAGTGGCGTTAAACACCAACAATCACTCAATCAATCATCTTTCTTTTTGGTTAATGTTCCCATTTGTCTGAAGAAGCATCCTAACATTCGTAAGTTTGAGTGGTATTGTGAACTTAACATTGGTATTTGCTGCTTCTCTAAGTGGAATTATGAACTTAACATTGGTATTTGCTGCTCCTCCAAGTGGTATTGTGAACTTTAAATTGGTATTTGCTGCTCCTCAAAGTGGAATTGTGAACTTTGAATTGGTATTTTCTGCTCCTCCTAGTCGAATTGTGAACTTAAAATTGGTATTTTCTGCTCCTCCAAGTGGAATTGTGAACTTAAATTGGTATTTTCTGCTCCCCCAAGTGGAATTGTGAACTTAAAATTAGTATTTGCTGCATCTCCAGATAGAATTGTGAACTTAAAATTGGTATTTGCTGCTCCTCCAGATAGAATTGTGAACTTAACATTGGTATTTGCTGCTCCTCCAAGTGGAATTGTGAACTTAACATTGGTATTTGCTGCTCTTCCAAGTGGAATTGTGAACTTAAAATTGGTATTTGCTGCTCCTCCAAGTGGAATTGTGAACTTAAAATTGGTATTTTCTGCTCCTCCAAGTGGAATTGTGAACTTAACATTGGTATTTGCTGCTCCTCCAAGTGGAATTATGAACTTAATATTGGTATTTGCTGCTCCTCCAAGTGGAATTGTGAACTTAACATTGGTATTTGCTGCTTGCTCCTGCAAGTGGAATTGTGAACTTAACATTAGTATTTGCTGCTCCTTTATTGGGTATGCAAAGAAGGAATGACATATCCACTACATTGGGTGGGACAGAAGGAATGACAAGTCCACTACATTATATAGGCACAGAAGGAATGAAAATTCCACTACATTAGGTTGGCACAGAAGGAATGACATGTCCACTTTATTGGTTGGACACAGAAGGAATGACATGTAGTCACAGAAGAAATGACATGTTAACTACATTTGGTTGGCACAGAATGAATGACATGTCCACTTCATTGGGTGGACACTGAAGGAATGACTTGTGCACTTCATTGGGTGGACACTGAAGGAATGACATGTGCACTTCATTGGGTGGACACAGAAGGAATGACATGTCCACTACATTAGATAGGCACAGAAGGAATGACACGTGCACTTCATTGGGTGGACACTGAAGGAATGACGTGCACTTCATTGGGTGAACACAGAAGGAATGACATGTCCACTACATTAGATAGGCACAGAAGAAATTACCTGTCCACTACATTTGGTGGACACAGAATGAATGACATATCCACTTCATTGGGTGGACACTGAAGGAATGACATGTGTACTTCATTGGATGGACTCAGAAGGAATGACATGTGCACTTCATTGGATGGACACAGAAGGAATGACATGTGCACTTCTTTGGATGGACTCAGAAGGAATGACATGTGCACTTCATTGGATGGACTCAGAAGGAATGACATGTGCACTTCATTGGATGGACTCAGAAGGAATGACATGTACACTTCATTGGATGGACTCAGAAGGAATGACATGTGCACTTCATTGGATGGACTCAGAAGGAATGGCATGTGCACTTCATTGGATGGACACAGAAGGAATGACATATCACATTAGATAGGCGCAGAAGAAATGACCTGTCCACTACATTGGGTTCAATGATACCATTGAAAGTTCATTGTCGGATTACGGTAGGTTGAGTTGGACATACAACAGTTAAAGTCATATTAATGAGGGGCATATATTTGGTTCTGCAGAATGTTTAAATATGCAACCATATTTGGCCGGAATTTGACTTTGAAAGCGTAAGTACTAATATTCTAGGTACTCTCTAGCTAGAGTATTAGTACTTGTTCTCTGCACATGAGAGGACATTGCAAGGTCTTACTGGTGTGTCTGTATGTGACCTATTACAAAGGAGAATGTTTAGCCCTCTCAAAATGCCCTCATTTCCAGTTGAAGTTGAGATCCGTGTCCTTCATCCGAGTTGGCCCATTATGCAGTTCCTACCAATTGATTTATTGTCAATTTTTTTTTCGTCCTCAATATGCATGAAGTATTTGTCACTGGACATTAAGGAAACAAAGACTTACACGGTGTTGGCTTAACTGGTTTTTATAGTATCTACTGGTATACGGTATGGGTTTTGCTCATTGTTGAAGGTCGTACGATGATATTCAATTGCTTTAATCCGCGTTTAAGTTTGACTCTGTTGGATAGTTGTATCATTGGCTATCATACCACATCTCCTTTTAAGCTCACCTGCCACAAAGGGCCAAGTGATCTTTTTTCATCACTTGGCGTCCGTTGTTAACTTTTACATAAATCATCTCTGAAACTACTGGGCCAAATTAAACCAAACTCACCAACAACTATTATTATGGTATCTAGTTTAAAAGTGTGTCCGACGACCTCGCATGCCAACCAATATTGCCGACATTGCTAAAAATATAAAAAAGTGGTAAAATGCAAGTTTGCCTATTATCTTCAAAACCGCTATTAATAGAGAAATTCTGACAGGGGGCAGAAATATTCTAAATGATAAGATTTACCTATAACTGTTTTTTTACAACAACAATGTCAGGTGACTTCTCAAAGGAGTTACTGCCCTTAAAAGACACATTTTACCATTTTTAAAAATGTTTGTCTATTATCTTCAAAACTATAACAGATAGAAAGAAACTTTGAATAACAAAATTGATCAAAAGACAAGATCTACAAGTAAGTCAACAAAGTTATTACCCTTAAAGGCGATGTTGACAAATATTTTGCGTTTTTGCTTATCATCTTGAAATCTATAAAAGATAGATAGACACTTTGAATAGCAAACAAGATCAGCAAGACCAGATTTACAACTAAGTCATATTTTGTCAAAGTCGTTAATAGATTCTTTTAAGGAGTGATTGCCCTTACATGACGGATTTTTTTTACCCTTTTTTGTGATTTGGGTAAAAAGTAAAGAAGTTAGAGAAACTGTAAACAGAAAAATGATCAGCAATAAAAGATCAACAAAAGATTGTTGTCATGGATTCTATTCTAGTCCACAATGTTAGAGAGAATCAATGGGTGAGCGACACAGGCTCTTTAGAGCCTTTAATTTTCTATTGTTTTGATCTTTTTTAAGCTCCCCCAAAAAATTCGGGAGCACACAGTCGTCGCTTTGACTTTCCGTCCGCAACATATTCTTTCCTGGTGGCCACTTCAGTTTCCCTTCCTTGATTGATATAAAACTTATACAGACTACTTTTTAAATTTTGGGTCACTAGGTCAAAATTCAAGGTCACTGTTAACTCGTACAAGACTTTTAACAAAAAGGCTTCCTGGTAGGTTACTTGAGTTTTCCTTGCATAAATGGAACGAACATTATACGATGGAAGATAAAGGAAGTGGGAAGAAGCTACTCAAAAACAAAATGTTGGTTTCCGGATGGTAACATGAGTTTTGTATGTTGGTTTAAAATACAACTTGTATAGATGGGAGATATAGCGAAAGGGAATACTAAGAAATATATTGAATATATATAATGTTACATGTAATTGCAATTTGTTGATTCTTGGAGTTCTTAAGGAACACTAGTTTCATTTTAATAAAACTTATACAAGTGGATGAAAGAAGCAAAGGGAGGGAGCCTATCGATTGTAAGCTCAGTTGGTCAAAAGTCAATGCCACAGTTGCTTAGGAAAGCTGTATACTAGTTTCGTATGAAGTTCTTCAAAATTTTGATTTCTAGATGAAATAAAAGCTGTTTAATATGACTTTAAAGTTTTCTGGAATAATTTTATTGGTCATGTACTTACTTATTTGGCGGGTTAGCCAATGTCATTGGAACCCCTGGCTAAAAAGATAAGGACCCGGAAGGTGTTTCTGTATATCAAGAATCTGGATCAAGCATTTATAAAAAACTGTATATTCATTGAATTAAAGTAGTGAATGAGAATTTCTAGGTAAAATCTCTTAAGATATAAGATAACTTTAAAAAAAAGTTCAGGTCTTAAAAGATGGGACGTAATATGGTATACCGATGCCCGTCCGTCCGTATGTCCAGGTCTGTCAGTCGTCAACACTTCAGGCAATACCTCAAAATGCTTTCACCAATTTTCATGAAAGTTTGGTGTATTGTTTATATCTATTGACGTAAGCTCCCTTTCGATTTTTATAAATTTCAGATTTTACGTTTCCGAGTTATCATGGGATTTTATTCATAAAGAAATGGGGGATTTCCAGTTTTTGGGCGCAGTTTTCATGATACTTTGGTGACTTTTTTTTATATATCTTTTGAAGTAGGCTGCACCCTTTTTTTATATATATTTCTGGTATGACATTGCGGAGTTATTGAACTTTATTCGTTGAATACTTGGGAACATTGTTTTTGATGTTCATCACCAGAAGGTTTGTTGTGAACCAGATGGAAATGTATGGGTGAAAAATCAAGGCCACAAACTTACTTAAACTTGAGGTAGTCTTAATAGTACCAAATTGTTCATGTTTTGTGTCAATGGGCACCACTGTGTGCATGTTTTTTTTTATTGGGGAGGGGGGGGGTCTATTTTAGCAGTGCTCACAGTATTTCTACTTGATCAGTCGTATACATTCATTTAATGACAAGACAAAAAGGGTGAAGGGCGCACTGTGCGTTCATGGCGAAGCTCTTTATAAAAAAAAAAATGAATCTCTTGAGATGTATAAATAACTTTGAAATAAAAATTAGCATAAATTTTGGGCATGACTTTCACTTTGATTTTTTTTTTGTTTGAATTAAAAGCAATCACGTCAATTGTGTGAATGGACATTTTTTCTCTTGCTTTTATGGCTTTCGGCAAATATATAAAATTTGCATGTTCCTTTTCCTTTACTTAAAAAATTCGCAGTAGTATTTTGTTAAGATTGGTTTTCTTTATTAATATACAGATTATCCATGTGACATTCAAATGGCCTCTTTTTACTTTTATTTGGTTTGTTTTTGTTTGTTACAAAAATCTCCACAATTATGTGAACGGAATTTTTTCTCCAACTCGACGAATTTTATATTGTTTCAATGTCTTTTCATTACAAAGAACAGTGGCAGATCCAGAGTTGGCGTACGCAAAATAATATCAAAATATCATGTTTCTCGCGATTAATATAATTTTTAGCCTGAAATTGCTAAAAAAAAAATCTTCGATTTTAAAAAATTACGCCCCCTCTTTCATAATGCTGGATCCGCCCCTGATTGGAATAAAGCAAATTACACAGTTGCATTTGCTTGGACAGTTTTCTTTGTATATATATAAATCAACCACTCCACGATTTTTTAAAAATTCGGTCAAAGTATAAATATGAAACGGGGTAACTTCATGTCAACATTTTGATCGTTGAAGCTAATCAATACATTTGATGCGGTTATTGCTTTTTCGAAATAAAGAGAGATTTTGATCAGCTACAATAACTTTTTGTTTAATTATAGCTTGATATTAAATACTCAGTTTTCCTTTTAAACCTATCATCTCGTGTGTGTTGTAATTTAAAATTTTCAACTCAATTCACTTGAACCGTGTTCAAGTATACATTTCGTTTTGATTTACCATGTAGTATGAATAAAAGGTGTCGCGGAGTATATATCTTTTTAGACTAAAAAAAAGGGGGGTTGAATAAAATTGTTTGATTCTTAATTTCCTAAAAATAAATAATTTGTTTCAGAAGGGTAGTCAAAAGATAGTTTTAAAAAAAAGAAACATATCGTTATTGATTTTTTTTTATTCGAAAACAATTTGTAAAGCCAAAGTCGATGTCTAAACCTTTGTTTTCAGTTGAACTCCCCTTTCAAAATTATCAAGGTCCCCGGACTTCCCATTACTTCAGATTCCTCCAAATGTTATACTATTAATATAACACTACGATGCAGAATTTGCATTTTCAAAAACAGAACTTAATTTGAACTAAATTATGTTGAGAACTGCTTTGCTTTATGTTTTTATTTTGAATGTGCAGAAAAATGTACAAAACAGATAATTTATTTGCAGAAAACAGTTATATATATATAGTTTGTATGTTAAATATCGTGGATTCGCCACTGAATATCATCTTCTATTTATAAGGGAGCTGACCATTTGATTTTTATGGGTGGGGGGGGGGGGGGGGGGCTAGGATAAAATTTGAAAAAAATAGGCAGGACCGGAGTTTTGAGTAAAAAAAAAAAGGCAGGATGAGACACTTTGCAAAAAAAAGGCAGGATGACAATTTATGTAAAAAAAAGTCAGGATAAACTAAAAAAAAAAGTGAGGACCGAATAGAGTGAAAAATAAAAAGGCAGGACAGAGATTACAACTAAAAAAAAATGCAGGACAAAATTTTTCATCCTAGCCCCCCATAAAAATCAAATGGCAGCTCCCTAAAACTGTTTAAGGAATTTCCTTCACACACAAAAACAACAGTTTACGACATTTGTCTTAACCTGTCATTAAATGCGAAAGGCTATCAGCAAAACAGAACGGTATATTTGTAACGGTATTGGAGACGTGTAAGCTGTTAGCATGCCAATAAATTTGACGGGTAATACCAACTCAGTGTATATATTCCACGGTACTCTCGTATAGTATTCCACGCATAAATTTTAGTGAAAAGGAAATTAAGCTGTCCAAAGTTTCCGCCATAAATTGTCATGTAACACCAAATTATCGTATGCTTTACTTGTGTCAACCATAACATTGATGATTTGTCGCTTAGCTAATTATTAAAACATGCGAGAAAACCGTTTAAAATATCAGTATAAGATTTTTCTCCTCATCCTATCACGTGACTTCAATCACTTGATGTTTAACTTTACATCATATTTTATAAGGTGTTGCTAGATGGATTGTTTTGTCCCTTAGGGAATTAAGAAATAATTCGGATAAAAACTACAAAATCTTTGACAGAAGGTGAAGATCAAGGTAAATTCATTTTGTCTTCTTACTTGTTTTTTTTTTTTTATTTTTTCACTTTTTATATTTATTTAATTTACAATGTGTTTTATCATTTTTTGTATTTTATTGTATAATTACGTTTTACAGACATGCATCAGTCATTTATCTTATATAGTAAGTAAAATTAGTAACATCGCATTCTCAAATTTCGTATTACAAAGTTATACAACAGTTCAGGGTAATTTGCCTCTTCCAACCGACAATATTTGGAGCGGATATACCTTAATGTTTCTGCTATTTGGATAATTGCATGCCTATGATTGCAGGTCTTTGATAGTACTGTTTAATTAATTAACATATTTCTTTTTATCATGGATGATTTATTTTATGATTTTTAGTGAATAGAAAAATGTGTGAAACTTGCATTTTATTTGCAAAATTCAATGGACAATATATGTTAAATTTCTGGATTCACCCATGAATAGAATTATTTTTTTTATACTACGAAGAAAATTTATTCACACAAACGCAATTAGGAGTTATTTTATTAGAGCTCGTCACATTATTGTTGAAAACTGTTATGTTTACCTCTATAAGTAGTTTGGTTTTTTGTGTCGCTGGGTTTCTGTCCCTTTATAATTCTTTTTCATGCATATAGGATGGCAAATTTTTGTTTCTTTCTTTCACACTTTCAATCCCAAGGATCATTCATGTTGTTTTTATGTTTTCTCTTGAGACGTTCTATACACTTTATTTGATTAAAACAGATAAGGGGACCGTGGCCATTTCATTTGAAAAGGGTTAGTCATTGCACATTTTGGAAATAAATATTCCGACCCCAAAAGTTTGAAATAAATTCAGACCGATCTAGAAAGTAAAAGAAAGTCCCTATTAAATAAAAAAACGTATTGAAAATAAACATATTTCTTTCTGGTAAACAAATTTAAAATTAATATTCTGACCCCTCCAAATTTATGCAAGCCTTTTGCCACCAATATTAAGTGGTCACTCCCTAAGGAAACAAAGAATAGACAAAAAAAGTCTAAAATTCAGAAATGAATGTCTTGCTGTATAAATCCTTGCTCTATGTATTTATGGAATCGTTTTCATTTTGTTTTAGAAAAATACGTCATCGGTTCAAGCTTATAATATTTTATCTAACATTTAACATATTGTATCCCTGAAATAAAAACTCATGCATTTAAAAAAAACTTGAGCGTGGAATACTTCTTTATGGATAATTATGAATAAAAGGAGACGTTGGGTACATGTCAATGATGACAGAATAAAAGCAATGGCTAAATATGGAGTCGTAACTTATAAAACTTTTTCTCATTGTTGAAAGCCGTACGGTTGCCTATAATTGATTGCATCCACTTCATTTGAACTTTTATGGATAGTTGTCTCGTTGGAAATCATACCACATCTCCTTATTTTCATATTATAAAAAGCTTCAGAAGAAGACTTGTGAGCAGATAAAAGTAGCCTAATTTGCATGTCGTAGGAAAAAAACCCACGTGATAAGTCGTATTAATATCTTTGTCCTTCAGGGAAGTTAGGTTTTTGAACAGATCTTTGATAGTCTATCAAATTTATTCACAACTTTGCTAGGCTCGGGGCAATGTAGAGCTTGACAAATTGCTTGTATGGACAAATTTTATTGTGGAAGACGACATTTTGATCTCTAGAGTTTTTTGTGCCGTTGGGTTGCTGTCTCGTTGATGTAAACCACATACATGTAACTCCTTTATTCGTATTTATTAAAATTTTAAGTCCATGCAAATAAATCAAGGCGTTAGTTTTATACGTTTGATTTCGTAAACAGTTCGTCATGTTGGGGACTTTTAACAGCTGATATTACATTATGGGTTTTACTCGTTGTTGAAGGCCGCAAAGTAACATGTACTTGCTTAAATCCACGCTATTTGGACTCTGTTGGATGGTTGTCTCAGTTCCTTATTTTATTTAATAAATATAACTATGTCTTTCTTTCAGAAGATGATCGTACTGAAGGGTTATTTGGTTTACGGGGATATGCTCTTTAATCGATCCTATTTTGTTTCTAAATGAAACATAGCTTCTTCAATTGAAGTAGAAATAGCTAAATAATTTCTTATAGGAATTAAGATTTTCGATTATTTAATCTATTGAATTACTATCGGACTTGTTTATTGTGTCCCGATACCTTCGTCCGTTAATGTCGGCTTCTTAGCTAATGAACGTTCTATATTATTTTGTATTTGATTCGTTGGGTTACTGTCTAACCGAAGTATACCCCATATCTGAGGGTCTGAATTGGGTTTGGAGAATAGAGAATAATGGGCCAAAAAATAAAGATAGAGAAAAACAGGAAAAAAATTAAAACAAATAAAGAATAGAGAATATTAGGGTGTTAAAATACAAAGAATAGAGAATAATGGGCAAAATTTATAAAGAATATAAAGAAATATGGCATACAAAATAAAGGATACAGAAATTAAAACCCCCCTCATCCAGACCTTCATATCTTCTTTTATTCATATCAAATTGACGTTTCGGAATCCCCCCTTTTTCATTCAGCAGTGAGTGTAATGGGCTCATCATGCTCAAACTGATGAAAGACAGAAATGCTTTATACTGAAGAGGGCTATATATTTTAAATCGCATAAATACTGAAGATCCGTTCATTTCAAACTAACTGAAATAGCAGTTGATAATCTATGTTCAATGTTATCACAGTTTTTTTTTTTCGGACTCTGGACTTATAGCTTGACATGCTGTATATAGACACGTGTGTATCGATATCGTTTGTTTTATTGTGTTGTTGGGTTGCTTGCTACCCTCTCATTGATTGATGCATACCCAATAGTTCTATCTTTTACATCGCTTGTTTGTTTGCATGGGAATCTTAAATGTCAAACAATGACACGGTAGCATCCTGGATTCATTGATTGTTGATTACTTAACGTGCAGTGGCAAATATTTCATGCATATTCGGATTTATTGATTGCTGATTGCTAAACATCCAGTGGCAAATATTTCATGCATACTTGGATTGATTGATTGCTGATTGCTTAAAGTCCAGTGGCAAATATTTCATGCATATTCGGCGTGATTGATTGCTGATTGTTTAAAGTCCAGTGGCAAATATTTCATGCATATTTGGATCGATTGATTGCTGATTGCTAAAAGTCCAGGGGCAAATATTTCAAGCATATTTGGATTGATTGATTGCTTATTGCTTAACATCCAGTTGCAAATTTTTCATGCATATTTGGATTGATTGATTGCTGATTGCTTAAAGCCCAGTGGCAAATATCTCATGCATATTTGGATTGATTGATTGTTGATTGCTTAAAGTCCAGTGGCAAATATTTCATGCATATTTGGATTGATTGATTGCTGATTGCTTAAAGTTCAGTGGCAAATATTTCATGCATTTTCGGATTGATTGATTGCTGATTGATTAAAGTCCAGGGGCAAATATTTCATGCATATTCGGATTGATTGATTGCTGATTGCTTAACGTCCATTGGCAAACATTCATCCTGTTCAGAACGAGTATGCATAAAATATGTGTCACTGGACGTTAAGAAATCAGCAATAAGTTCAGAATATGCATCAAATATTTGCCACTGGTGGATGTAAAGCAATAAGGGATCAGTCACTATCTTTCTTGACAGCTTTATCTGATATCAATAATTTTGTCAGGGAACATAAACTAAATTTCCAAAAAAGGGGGGAAAGGTACCAAGGGGCGAAATATGTAAACAGTAACATTTTATATAAAGAAATACATAGTGAGCTACATGAACCCAGTAAATTATCAGGCAGTGAACCAGGGAGTCAACCAGCAAGTGCCCCGGAAGGGTTAGTCTGGAAATAAATAACATAATGAGATTATTGCTATTAGATCAAACACATGTAAAACAGACATGTCTATCTACATGTCTAAACTCGATTAAAAAAAATAAAATTTCTGCTACATGTACTTGAAGAAAAACCGCATATATTGAATTTCAAAAAAGAACTGTGCTGAAATTAGGAAGGGTGGTTAAAAACGGAAATAGAATCTTCACAGTATAGTTAATAATGAAGAGAAATGTACAAGTACTTAGAGCATTTTAAGATTTTTAAGTATGGGACAATTAAAGGTTGAAGAGTTATTTAGTTTTATTAACGAAACAATTCACCATCACTCAAATTATTGCGACAGTGGGTCAACTCAAGGATAGTCATGTTAGAACAGTGTGGCGCAATAATCTGGGTCACTGGCACATGGAGAACGGACCCCTCTTTTTTCTATTTTTTTTTTTTTTTTGTTGTGTTTTAATTTTTTAGTAAATATTCTGTAAAAGTTAACTTTCTTTCACTTATGTAATGTGTTCTTGCTCTTTTCCATACTATATTACAATAGCAGTAGTTAAATTTTGACCCAATTTTATTATTTTCCGTGTGGGCACAAGCAATTCACATGATTTAAAGACCAAAGACCTATTTCAGGCAATCATATACTAGGCTATGATGCGTGCAATGTAAGGAGAAAAATACGGTTTCTATTCTTAACATATAAAAAGTTTGGAAACACTTTGATAAAAATTTCTTCGTAAACATAAAACTGCCATGTATATTATTTAATCACCCCATCATGTCAAAAACATAACATTTTGCTGTCGAAACCAACACACAGGGTTCACATAATTATCTACTAGAATTATTTACTGCACCAGAACAGGGATAATCGTTTTCCTACGTGAAAAATGGCAGTAAATGGTGTATTGAAAAATTTCGATCCTCTTTGAAATGAACATGTTCCTGTCCCTAGTCAGAAGCCTGTAAGAGCCTGTAATCCAGTGGTTGTCGTTTGTTGTTGTATATCATATTTGTTTTTCGTTCATCATTTTGTACATAATCCTTCAAAAAACAATCCTGCTACAGTCAACTCTTTTTAGGACGTACAATAATTCGACGATAGAAGTCATATCTTAAAAAGGTTTTAACCGACATAAAAAATTGACCAATTGTCCCCTTGAAACCTTAACATATTT